CCTAACCACCACTTAGAACACGCCTCGCCCCTTTGCAGAGACTAACTTGGCTTTTGCAAAGGGGTCGGCGGATTTCAGAGTTTTGGAATGACAATGCTGTGTGCTCACAAGGTGAAGAGGATAGACTTTGTTGTCCGATGGGTGTGTTCCAGGCGAGCAATCTTTCACAGTGCGCTCCTGTGTCCGAGCTTGATTGGAGGAGGGCACCTGTCAACAACGTCGGGGGGCAGCAAGCACATTTCAGTGCACATTCTTGAATGCTGGCAGAACACAAAGCAAACGGCACGGCCCCCTCGAACAATTGGAAGCTGACACTATGGGATAATCGCTTGTCCTCCCATGGTGAGACAGGAAGGCAGAGTCTCCATGTGTGTGTGACTGGCAAGCAACTTTTCTTTGCCTGGGCCTTGCGTGTCCGCGTTGCCACGGCAGTTTCTTTGTTTTTCTGTTTGGTCATGCCTCTGAGCTTCGGAAGACCGAGGCGCTGGCGCAAGCGCAGGTGGCGCAATTGGCGCAGGCGCAGATGCTGGCGCAAGCCCAGGCGAGGTGATTGAGTGTTGTAATGGGGGTTGTGCGCGCCGTGGAGGAGGAGAAGCGGAGGAGAAGCGGTCAATATTGAATGCCATGTCCGTGGGAACCATCATGAGTTTGAAGTCAACTCCTGTGCCCTTGCACTCCTGAACACTTGCCATCTTGGAGCATCCATTGGATTTGGCAAGGCCTCTCCCACCTCCATCCGTTCGGCGGCGGTGATCAATTAGTATATTATCATGATTTTGATCAAAGTGTTGCAACTCACGTTGGAGTGCTTCAGCGAATCGAAGCATGCACACACACACACACAACAGCAGCTGTCAAGGGCTTGATTTGGTATTCTATGAGAGCCATTCCAGGGCAGCTCGGAGCGGTGCGCAGGTCATAGCCGCAGCGCAGCAGCAGGCGCAGGCTGCTGCAGAGGCCGGATCAAGCAACAGTTGCCTTTTTGAACTGGCTTCTTGTATCTTCTTGTGTAGTGAGGCTACTTTCCACTTTTTGTTTTTTTCCTTTTCATCCCTTTGCTTCAGATGAGACAAGCTTATTGGCCCTTGGCAACATCGACCCCGCCAGACACAGACATTGATCATGAATCAACTGGATAACGAGGGAGAGCCACTAGACTCTCACTAGACCAAGGAGTTCTTTTGCTTAGCCCATGCCTGCCAGCTATCTTGGTTGCTCCGCGTGCACTTTGCCTTTGCTTTGGCCGTGGCTTTTGCCAGGCCAAAGCTGCCGCGGAGAAGAAGGCTCAGGCCGGAGTGACAAATGAGATATGTAAGTTTGCGCACCCCCCCACCTTTTATCTCCCATGACATGTGACGGCGCATTTGAGGTTCTTGTCTATGCGTGATATCCCCAAACAGAGCTCGAAAGAACTGTTGGAAAGAGCATGGGCTAGCTGTACTTGTCACTTGTTACTTGTTTATTGAAATTCTGTCTTGCTAGGCGCAAGCCTTGGTGGGAGCAACTCTGCAGATTAGACCCTGGGACAAGCAATCAAGCTCTGGCATACCTGACAAAGAGAAACCAAGTAGGCATATGTATCAACCCAGCCAGCAACGAAGCGCATGAGCAGAGCAAACCTTGGCAGGAAAGTTTGGAGCTTGGGATCTTCCTGTTTGTTGTCAAATTCTAGCGATCTGGGAGCTTTGAAGGAAAAGTAGCCACAGTGCAGCGCCATAGGCAGTGGAGTGACTGCTTTGCCATTGCAGTTCTCAGGGTGCAAGATCTGGCCTGCTGCGAGTTTGCGTTGTAAACGAGAGCTGCTGCATGGAGAGTTGGCTGTGTTTTATATCAAAGTTGGGGAGGTTTGCTGTTTGGTTCCCTTGCAAAGACATCCTGAAAAGGTTGTCTAGTTTTGACATCCTGACAACTTTTGTCTCTTGGGTATCTACAGCAGAATGACACATACCCAGATAGCGCAGATAGCGCAGATAGCGCCCTCAGGCCAGGTTGGCCGAGAGAAGGAGAGAGGCCAAGGGGGGGAAGGGGCCGGGAGCAACACATGCATTTGTTTGCAAGGAATGTGATGTCCCTCACGCTATATACACAGAACTCACATCTGGATTGGAGTGAATTCTACTACAGTTGACATTTTGTGATGTGTCTGGGTTACTCTTTGAACTCTTCGTGGGCCTCCGGGAGCATTCACATTTCTGGTTTCGGTGGTTTTGATGAACTGCATCACCGGTAGTTTCGTGGCTGACGTGGCAGTTGCTGACATTCACTTGAGAGGGTATCCAACATGACAGGGCCACCCGGGCTTCAAAGAACACAGATGTTGGCATCAAGCAGCTTGGTGTTTGAGATTCATCCTACAAAAGTAGGCTGGATGCACGCTTTCAAGAGGACCTTCGTGTCGCAGTTGCCACAAGTCTTTCAATCTACTTGCTAAGCCGGATGAACCTCGAACAGCCATTCATTTGAAACTATCCTGCCTCACAAGGCTCCCCTCCTACAGAAGTGTGGCACCGCGAAAAGCATGAAGAGAGAGCCAAATGAGCAGCCCGCACTTCCCTCCTTGTAATGGCCATGTGCGTTGTGTGGGATGAACAATGATTTCGCAAACATTCCCCCTGCACGGTCTTGATCAAGGTAGAGCGTTCTCAAAAGCAAATGCAGCCAAGAAGATCACGCGCACGCGCGCACAGAAACACCTGCACAAGCAAAAACAAAAAGAAAGAAAGAAAGGCGAGCGCATTTCGTCTTCAGGCGGAGGCCAAGGCACAGGCGGAGGCGGTGGCCAAAGCGCAGGCGGGCTCTTCAGATGGGGCGGGCATGGGGGCCATGCCGTGCGGCAATGTGTCACACGTAGGCAATGAATAAAGGAAATCGAACCTGCATCGTTGACGCAATCGTGGATTTTTAATTCTGCACAGGGTCAACATGCCCAGAGCTGTGCCCTCCAACACCATGCTGGTTTAGAAACCAGATAGGTCGTTTGTGATTTTTGTTTGGCAGCACTGCATGATAGCCACGGCTTGCGACGCAGTGTCAGCAGAGCAATTGTTCGAAGGACGATAGGGGTTTCATGCCGAAGCACGACTTTCAAGGAGCCTCAAGGAGTCATCCTTAAGGAGAGAGGGCAGCTGAGCACAGCAATTGGCTTGATCCGTTCTCAGGCCTTGGCCAAAGCTGAGAGGGAGGCCAGGGCCGCGTGGCCGGAAAAAGAACGGTGGCTGGTCCATCCGTTCTGTCCACGTGCGTCCAAGTCATTTGCGGGTGGGCTGAGGGTTGGAGGCCGCTGATTCCAGGTATACTTCTTTGTTTGAGCCAGTGCATGCCTTTTCAACTCGTGATCAACGTCAGGAAGAGCCTAAATGAACGCGTCGAGTGTCGATCTCTTGGCAGGCCAATCCCGAGCAGCCTGCGGAGGTGGGGGTAAGGTCTGCGGATCACCCCCTGCCAATGTCCGAGCGCAGAACGGAAGCCTTGTCCTCAAACGGGGGCGTTTGCTCGTCGGGCCTTTGCACACTCACTTAAGGAAGTTCCCTGTTCGAGGTGAAATCTTTTGCGAGTGGAAGAGTGGGAGGGTGGGAGCGTGGTGGTCTTTGTTCGCACTACAGTATCGCTGTCTTCAAAATCATGCAATGCCTATCACCTCCAGGGGAAGCCTAAAGGAAGTGGAAGTGTCGCATGCAACTCAGGCTTTCATGGGCCTCGCACTCAGCCAGGCACCGGCGGAGCGTGGCGCTCAGCCCGTGTTGGTGGAGTCCAGCTCCGGCCGCGGATCAGTGGTCCCCAACCAGCAGCACAAACCTGCGATGGGCGCTGATGGGTTTGAGGGGGAGGGAAGCGGATGGAGCAGATACTTTTGTGCCCTATTGGCTTTTGTTGGCACACTGTACATCACGCAATCTCAACTGCTTGTTTACATCCCACGTTGGTCTTTAGACCTCCAAACGCCCGTGTTACTCCAATGTTTATTTGCCGAGGTTTCTTCGTCATTATGCTTGTGGTCTTTCCTCCCTGTCTATCCTCTCGATGTGCAACGTCCCACAACTGCAGAGACCAAACTCAGCAGGAGCTATTTGTGCAAGGACATATCCATTTGGAAGTACTGCCGGGGGATGTTCTGAGCTAGATAGGTGCTGAACTCGACGTGTCTGATATTTCTCAGAAGGTTCTATTCTTGCTGCACATCCTCTGCCTTCCATGAAACTGTGCCTGACCAGTTGCATGCCCCAGCTGGCTGCATGCCAATCACGGTCAAGACCGACGCTTGTTGGACGTCTTTGTGACCCTTGTTGGCCACCTAAGTTCGCCATGGCCGGTGTGAGTAGTGAGCAACACCTGTACACGCTACTTGGTCAAAGCCATGCACTGGCCTTCACGAAGACTCGGCACTAAACGTGTTCTAGAGAACGGGTTCCAGCTCCAAAGGACACTCATGTGCGTGTAGCATCCTAGGACCGATACTCAGAGTGAGTAGTGGTACCAGAGGCTGAAGTTCTACAAGCTGAAACTTCCCCCACCAAGGCCGCCGGAGCCTCCCCCAGAGCCTGCAGAGGCGGCGAGGGTTTGGAAAGGGCCAGGGTTCCTCACCTGCCGATGAGAGAAAGGTTTGGGTTGTAAAGGATTTTCATATCCTTGTCCACTGGATATTTGATGCATCCCAGGGACAGTTTAAGGATAGAAGTGCCCACGCTTGCAATTTTTTGGCACTCCTTTCCACGGCAGAGATGAATGCAGAGAGCAGATGGGTTGGCACACACACCGCGCTTTTGCCAAAATGATGAAATTCAGAAATGGAGACAAACTTGGCACTGCGATCCTATTTTCCCTCTTGTTTACAGGTTGCTGTGTGCCCATGGTCGCCCACAGAAGCAACACACACACACACAGATTCTAGAAAACGGTTTGGATTCGCCTTTTGTTGATTTCGCCTGTTCTTCCCCTGTAGGTTCCATGTTAGTTCTCTTTTTGTACTATTTTAACACCCTACAGGGGTGGATCCACAAAAACCGCATCCAACCTGTTTTCCAGACACCGAAGCCGCAAAGTAACTTTTCGCAAACTCTCGCAGAGTGGGCGCGGCTCTTTGCGCAGGCACCAGAGGCGTTGGGAGCTGAGAGGGGCCAGGGATCAGAGGATCAAGCAGGCACAAAGCAAGGCTTCGGATGGGACCAGAAGAAACACATCGGCTCGTGAATGCCTGGCCCGTGATTGTGGCTCGAAGTCTTTGTGCAGGATTGTCGGCACGACGGCACCGGTGTTTTGGCAAGGCACAGGCTATCTAGACATAACGCATGTTTCTCGAAGCCTTGGGGATTGATGCCTCACCCAAGGCTCGAATGTGCCAACGCATAGGTTCCAACCAGACCGCGTTTGGGAAACATGTGAAATCACACGAGCAGTGCTGGCTGGAGCACGTGGTAATTACTCCAAAAAACACATTTATACGCGGGCCAGGAAGCTGAGCATGGCATAGGGTTTTGGTGTTGTGCCGGTCCTGCCTTCCGTCACAACGATTTTTTGCTTCCGTGGGAAGAAGTTTGCTGCGATACAACTGGTCCATCAGCCAGATGGCGGTACAAGCGGTTTTTTGGGTTTTTCTTTTTTGGTTCCTTTCGAGCCTTGTTGCGCGGCCAAGGTCCAAGACGGACAACGCTTCTGAGGCCAGGCATTGGAGAATCGCCCGAAGACAATCCGTGTCCCCAAAGGACAGGAGAAAGAAAACTCCGTGCCTGCAACTTCCCCATGTTCACGAAACCTATTGGGTGAGCGGATCTTCCCCGATTCGCCGAACAGACGCGTGGCTGTTAGTGGAGAAGGTGATTGGATGTGACGACCGTTTCTCACTGGTTGGTGGAAGTCGTGTCAAGGGTGACAAGAGCTCCGGCGCAGCACCATGCTGCCCAAAAAGCTATGCATGGATTGAATCAGGAAATTGCCTTGCATGAATCGTTCGTCGAGCAATAGATTTACGCAGTGCGGCGGACACTCAGTCATGATTTGCGACTTGGACGCTTTGTTGGAAGAGGGTAGGCCTTCTTTTTTGAGTCATTCGCCGTGCTGCCCTTCAATCTTCTGCCAGACCTTTGTCAGTTCTTTTCACGGTGCCTGCTGTCAATTGGGACTATTTAACTTGCTTTGTGTTTTGCAACAGGGGGCGGGGCATAGCTTCAAGTTCCACAGCTTGTGATTGAAAGGAAAGGTTCGGAAAGGGCCACACAGGGGCCTTAGAAGTTAAACAATGCAGAGCTTTCATTCAATGATCAGGGGACGCGAAATCTACTGAGCCTTGTAGATTGCTTGTGAGCAAAGCCTGCCATACCCCGACCCAACTGGTGAGCGCGGAGTGTTGGGCACAGGCCAAGGAAGCCAAGCAGCCCGGCCTCCGAGTGGGGAGGGGCAGAGATGGCACGCGGATGTCGAGTGGAGGGCCGGCTGAGGGGGTGATACTCACCTGAATAATTACTGGACAGTGGGCACACTCAGGGTTTGTGTAGCAAAAGTCCAACAGATGTGAACCGCAAGGACTACGTTTCGCAAGTTGAAAAGGTGCTACTAGCAAGTCTTTCAGACAATGGGGGCATATTTTCCTGTTTAAACTCGCACCGCAGCTTCTAACCAACACTCAACAGTCTTCCACACGCTGGCCAGTTGGATTGCGGCCAGCAATGCAAGCAAGGGATCACTACTGCACAGCCAGACGTTTCGCACCTGCAGTGGCAGAGTACGCACGGACAAATCTCCCTTCCTCAAGCCAGCTTGTGTGGACGAAAAGGGCCCTCCTTGCCGCCAGGTCGGAGAAGGCGGGCACGGGGTCACGGGAGCGGACCATGGGGCAAAAGTCTTCGAGACGCGAGAGCTAGGGCCTTGTATTCTTCTGACTTGCAATGGAGAGCCATTAGTTTGCAGTTCTCTACTGCATTTGCAGAAATGTTGTTGCCAGCAAATATATTTGTTGAATGTTTGTGCGAGGCACGATGAAGAGCCTGAGAAGGTAGGACCAAGTTCAAAGAATGCAGCAAGCGGTCATTGTATTTTCCACTGCGCAACAGCTTCTCCTTTTTATGTTTTCTGCAGATTCCTTCTTGCAGGTACGATGATTTGCCGCAAGACAAATAGTTTCAGGCAACGTTTCGGTTTGGGCTCGTTTCTTAGATTGATAGTTCCATGTTCAGCCAGCAAGGGATTGCTTCCTCCCTGAGGAAACATTGCCAGTGCTTCCAAATGTTGGGACCTTGAATGTGCTACGCTACTCCTGGAAACAAATGTCATAATTGTGCTTTCCAGCCAACCGGCTGGCCTCATTGAGTGTTGGATAATTGTTAGACACAGACAGAGACGGAGAGTAGTTGGACGCCTGCATGCAACGGTAGCAGGTTGAGATCCTTCCATCCCCTAGGCTGTGATTGCCAGGAAAAGAAGAAGGAGGACAAGAGGAAAGAGGAGAAGAGGAAAGAGGAGAAGAGAAAAGAGGAGAAGAGAAAAGAGGGAAAAAAAGAGGAGGATGAGGCGGAAGCTCTTCGAAGTTCTCTTGATCGGCTGCGTCAGATGCGGTGCCGCTAATTGACCGAGCTTCCGTTGCTGGCAGCCAACCTTTCGGCCCCGAAGCCGGCCTCTGGTTTGTCCCGGTCTCTTTCGGTTCAACTTGTCCTTTCAGGACCGTTTGGCAAGTGAGAAACAGCATGCAACCTGCACCGTGCTCTTCCAGCCCGAGCACGCCAGCGCGGTCTCAGCCTGGCTGTCTGAAGGCGGCTGGCCATCTAAGCTCCAGGGAACGATTCTCACTCGTTCCTTGCTCCACTGATATGTGAAAATACTGGGATACATGCAAGTCTTTGTAAAGGAAGAACGGGAACAACTTGGTCGGAGTATCTCAGCAATCACAGAGAACAAGTGATGTCTCGCACGGTTCTTATGCAGTTTTCTTCTCGCTGTCCGCTGGCATTGTCCCGCTGCAAGTCTCAAGTGGTGGTTTTCCTCAAGGACCTTATATCGGATCAAGAATCTAAGAAACATCTCTTGCCACGCTATTGAGCTTGAAGCCGCAGTGAAAGCGCTGACACGAGGAAACTCGTGCCTCACAATTGTGATAGCAGCGAATACTTTATAGATAATTATGCTCTTTTGGCAGAGCATCGCATGAGACTTGCTGGTTCTGGAATTGATTCATATCTTGCGCTCTCTTATCGAATTAGATCGCATGAAAGGTCTCCTCACTTCGCTCTGAATGGGGTCAATCAGAACATCCTTGCTCTGGATGCTTGGTCTTTTACTGACACCTTTTAGAGGCGAGCCATTGAGGGGCATCATGCATCAATGAAAGCATGGAGGAAGGTACGCGTTCTTTTTGCTGAGAGAAGCAGCAGACACTTTCTTGTTCTGGCGTGCATCTCTCTCTCTCTCGCTCTGTGCGTGTGCCTGTTCATGTACTAACTGCAGCCGGCTGCTGTTCAGGATACCAAAAGCAAAGAGAAGGAGAAGGAGAAAGATGATAAGAGCGAGAGCGAAGAGAAGGCACGAGGGGCGGATTCTGGGACAAGGCGCAATAGTCTGAGGATCGCGGAGCGCATTCTTTACAGCTCAATTGAAATCACACGGCGGCAAGCGACTCCGATGCAGCACAGGCTGCAATCCTGACAGTTTTGGTGGCTAGCTGAAGCAGACACCAGCAGTTGAAGGCTAGCAATTACCAGTAGTAGCAATAGTAGTAGAAGTAGTAGCAGTAGTATTAGTTAGCAGTATTAGTTAGTAGTAGTAGTAGTAGTAGTAGTAGTAGTAGTAGTAGTAGTAGTAGTAGTAGTAGTAGTAGTAGTAGTAGTAGTAGTAGTAGTAGTAGTAGTAGTAGTAGTAGTAGTAGTAGTAGTAGTAGTAGTAGTAGTAGTAGTAGTAGTAGTGGTGTAGTAGTAGTCATAGTAATAGCAGTAGTAGTAGTTGTAGTTGTAGTTGTAATACTAGTAGTAGTCGTCGTGGTAGGAGTAGTACTGCAGTAGTACTATCTTTTGGGCCTGCGGCCTCTAGCCGGCTACGCCTCTTTACAGTTCGACCATGTCATGTCATGTTTTTTGTCTGAGAAACGTATCCTGTGCTATGATATGGCTGGTTAGGTTATGCATGCTTGCCGCGAGGGCGGCGTTTTGCTGGCTAGGGAGCGCTGGCGGTGACGCTGGCTGCGAGGACGGCTTTTTTACAAGGCACGCTGCAACTATACTAGTAGTTGTCTTCGTAGTAGTAGTAGTAGTAGTAGTAGTAGTAGTAGTAGTAGTAGCAGTAGTGGTAGCAGTAGAAGTAGTGGCAGCAGTAGTAGTAGTAGCAGTAGTAGTAATAGTAGTAGTAGTAGTAGTGGTAGTAACAGTAGTAGTACTACTAGTAGTAGTAGTAGTAGTAGTGGTAGTAGTAGTAGTAGTACTAGTACTAGTACTAGTAGTAGTAGTAGTAGTAGTAGTAGCAGTAGCAGTAGCAGTAGCAGTAGCAGTAGTGGTAGCAGTAGAAGTAGTGGCAGCAGTAGTAGTAGTAGCAGTAGTAGTAATAGTAGTAGTAGTAGTAGTGGTAGTAACAGTAGTAGTACTACTAGTAGTAGTAGTAGTAGTAGTGGTAGTAGTAGTAGTAGTAGTACTAGTACTAGTACTAGTAGTAGTAGTAGTAGTAGTAGTAGTAGTAGTAGTAGTAGTAGTAGTAGTAGTACTAGTACTAGTACTAGTACTAGTAGTAGTAGTAGTAGTAGTAGTAGTAGTAGTAGTAGTACTAGTAGTAGTAGTAGTAGTAGTGGTAGTAGTAGCCGTTGTCGTCGTCATAGCAGTAGTAGTAACAGGAGCAGAAGCAGCACTATCGGTAGCACTAGTAGGAGTAGCCGTAGTCGTAGCCGTGCCTCTTCGAATTGGGCAGAACTTGCTCCTGGGCCTATTCGATTTGGGCAGGCCTTGCGCCCCATCCAGCAATTGGTTTGTTTGTGGATGCCTTTGTTCAGGGCCACAACCTGTGGAAGTTTGGCTTGCCAACAGAATTTCTAGAAGAGCAAGATAGGCCGCTCATCATGCTACGGCCAACATTCGAAATTCAACATGGTCACTTGGTTTCAAGAAGTGCGTGTAGAAGGTGTTCACACATCCCGTGCCTTTTCATGTCAATTCCGCACAAATTACAACAAGCTGGCGGTGAAACGGGCTCACCCTTGACGAAGGTCTCTTCCATTGGGATTCAGTATTTCCAATGAATTCCTGAGCTTGATTTAGTAGACCGTGCAGATATGGGGATATCTGAGTAACATTGGCGATGGTTGAGGGGGATATGGGGGGGCGGGTATATAGCGCTTCGGAACGCAGGGGGGTTGCAATGGGTAATCTCTGACGTAAGTGCTGTGCTGCCGTGCCCCAGGATGCGAAGGAGAAAAAACGCGACCGCCGTTGCCTTAGCGCCTGCGGGGCCTCGTTTGAAGTGTGTCAAAAAGGACACTTCTGAGAATGGTGTTGGGAGGAAGGCAGCAGGACGTTTGGAAGGGTAAGCTGCAAGTTGGTCTTCGTTATCAGAGGCGTTCTTTGCGCTAGGGATGAGGGACATATCCAAAGGTTCATGCAGCCAGCCGAGATATACATCAAGCGTGGGGTCAAGCTTAACGTCACATCGACTCTGTGTGTGCCTGACCGAAGAAGGGCAGTCTCTGGCAACCCCTGAGCCCTCAGGAAGCAAAAGCAGAAGTCGCAGCAGAAGTAGAAGCCGTAGCGGCAGCAGGCGCGCCATGACGGGTCAAAGGGCTGGGGGCCTGCAACTTGTATAGCTTCGCATCATTAGGAAGCCAAACTGCGGACTGCAGCAAGCCAGCTCTGTATCCTTGGTAGCAACACACAAACCACAGCTGGATACGTACTGGAAGTCGCTTTTGGCAGATGGAGCGCGAGGGAACTAAGTCGGATTTGTCAACCGCAATGATTCCCGGCCATTTCGGCATGTGTCAGTGTTGAGACCATTGGTCGCTGTTGGAGCACATTTCATTTTGAGTGGCCCGACCCAAAGCTGTTGGGCACACAGCGAGTGCGGGATTCAATGATTAATTAAAAGGAAGGGAAATAGATAGGAGAAAGTGATGTCATTCCTCTTTCCTAATCCCTTCCCTTTACCATCCTTTGTCTCAGATAGGGATGGGGGAAGGGACGGAAACTCGGTCATGTCGATTCCTTGCCCTTTACCTAGAACTTGACGTGTGCCTGTCTTTTCAGGACATGAACAGCCATGACCAGACCACAGGCAGTGCATTTACATTGGGCCATCTTATTTGCCTTCTTCAGGGAGCTTATTTTCTACCGCTTGAAAGGGTCTTTGAAGCCACCCTGCCGAAAGTGGCCTGAAAAGGGGAAGGCCCTGTGTATACTTGATTTACTTTGTTTCCCTGAACTGCGGGAACCTTGAAAAGGGAAGTGTCCTTGACTAGTTGACCTAGTTGGGTTGCAGCCCCCCGCCGCTCAACCCGGCCTGTGCCATGGTCAGCAGGATGCCCAGTTGGGGTCTCATCCGTTGCGGAGATTCATCCACTTTTCAATCAGGCCTTGCCAGCTAGGAAAACAGATCGCTCATTCAGGCGTCCATGCGCGAAAACAATCGAGGGAGGCTGGCTTTGGGAGCCTCTGCCTTGCAACTGTCCAATGCCGGCCAGGAGCAGACGGAAGGACTGCTGCGGTGCTGGGTCTCGCTTCGCCCAGTTGAGCCGACAGCACACTCTCGCATCCATTGGTTGGGATCCGTCAAGGATGGCTGAGCTGCCCACAATGACAAAAGGGCTTGATCAAAACCTCAGATCCTCGCTGGTGCGGTGTTCCCCCTTCAAAAGGACTTGTGTGAATTAGCAGCAGCTGCAGGACAAAAGCAAAGACCGGCGCGACAAGAAGGCCTGGAACTTCATGCTATGTCCTGAAGGAATTGGTTCCGGGCGAATCATGGCGGCCGAGGAAGCGCCGCATTCCCAATTCTTGAATTCTGGGGATTGCCTCTGTTGGGCCGGCGGGCCACAGCATAGTGACTGTTTCTTGAAACGGCATGATGCTTGAAGTGACCGGCGGAAGCACTTGCTCGAGCACCTCAATTGAACGGAAACCTGCCAGCATGGTTTTTCTTGCTTCGTTTGGATCCTAATTGGCGGGAGCAGTCGACTGCAGAACAGCAGGGCTTGGTTTTTGTGCGGGCATGATGGGGTCCGAAGAATACTATTTCACAGTTCCTTCGGAATGGTTTTGGTCAAGGGTTGGGTGGAATCACGTTGCCTAGCAGAGTAGGCTGCAGTCGTGCGAGGAGAGAAGAGATAAGAGCCGCAGCCGGGATAGAAGAGACAAGGCGGCGGTGACAGTCGCTGCTACTTTGCAGTTGTCTAGAGCCAGGCCCTTTTGCGCATTGCGGTGTTAACGAATAGGGTAAGATTTGTGCCAGCTTGCTACAATCCAATTTTGACAGTCGCGCGCAAACGCACACACGCACACACACGCACACACACGCACACATCAAGACAACACACACCATGCGGGCATGTGTTGCATGGCATACCTGAGCGACGGTTACTAGGGCACTCTCCACACAAAACCCACGGCCAGGGCCGGCGCAGAAGGAGCAGCCGAAGGAGCAGGCTTTCATCCCCTTCGGGTCGCACGGGGTCACCCTTGCCTCACCAAGAGACAGATGGTCACTCCAGGTTGCTTGTGCGGAAGAGAAAAGCATTTGTAGTCCCATCAGCGAAGGGTCGTAGTGTCCTTTCTCATCCCATTGCAAAAGCCTTTTCTTTGGCGAGTCCAAGTGATCCCACAATCTGGCGATCCCACTTTGGTGGATCTTTGTTGCGGCAAGATGTGCGAGGACAGTGGAGGGAGGATGTGAACACCTGCAAACAAGGGAACCTTGATGTTCTTAAAGCGAAGCAATGCCCGGAACGTCTTCCCTCTATTGTTCAACACTTCCCTTGGGACAGTTTGCTGGGCTGTTAGCCGTCCAGCTATCCTCGAACCCTTGCAGCCGTGCCAAAGCGCACACAAATGCAGATATTGTGTGGACATGGTTTTAGCATTCAAGTGCAAGTTCGAGCAATGTTCCAATGCCCCTCACACAGCCATTCAAATTTGTCGAGATGTTCCAAGTCTTGGACCTTTCGGACATGTCAGACGTGTGTTGAGTTTTGACCCGATGTCAGGCGGCGCCGCAGCCGGAGCCGCCGGCGCAGCAGCCGAAGCCGGCGGCGAAGCAGCCGGAAGAGCAGGAGAGAAGCGGAGAGAAGCGGAGAGAAGCGGAGAGAAGCGGAGAGAAGCGGAGAGAAGCGGAGAGAAGCGGAGAGAAGCGGAGGGAGACTGGAAGCTGAGGAAGGATGGGGTGATGTGGGGGAGGGATATGGTGGACACAGGTTTGCTATCTACCAGGTTGACTTGCGACTTGCGACTTGCTTCAATTGTTGTCAGAGACTTGAGTGGCTGCAGTTTGTTGGGAAAGGAAGCTTCCTGGAAAGATAATTCGTAATCCTTGCAGGTGAAGGCCCCATGAAGGCCCCAACAATATACCAAAAAGGGGAGAAACGAGGTCTTGTGGATGTCGTGGAGTCATTGCGGGTATTGGACATGATTGAGTTTGTGGATGATTTAGATGCCTTTTGACGCGGGTGAGGTGTCGATGTTGCCTTTCAGGAACCTTGAGGAGCCCTACACGTTGAAGCGACGGACGTTGACCCTAGAAAGCCGAGAGGGCATTGCGCTCTTGCCCAGCGAGGGAAAGGAGTGTGTTGAAGGCAGCATTGCTGTTGATGTTGCACTTGTGGCAACTTGTAGTCGCCTTAAACGGGGTCACAAGCCCAATAGCAAAATTATTAATAATGAGCAACCATATCATGCAACATGTGAACAACGTTGCGGGGGCTTGAAGTTTGACACCAAGCCACGGCGAACGGTGTTTTTTTATTCAACTCCATTGGAATCATGCTCGTCAGGAAGACTGCCCGGAAGTATAATAATTGTGACTATTTGCATTGCCTATACTTTCTGCGGTCCAAATCCAGAGAATTATTTCCTTATGTCTTGACGAAGACAGACTCAAACACAGCTTAACAAACAAGGGCTTGGTATAGGTGGCCGGCCCCAGTGTTTTTTGCTACTATATCTTATTCATGCCTTAGTCATATTCCGTATGCGGTGAGCCTGCATTCTCAGTTCCGCACCCCTCCTGACGGAGACACGCAGCAGACCCAAATAGAGATTGCCTCGTACGGTGGTCCGAGCCCCAATTACCACATCACACGATGCGGATACTGAACTGTTTTGGGAATCCGAGTGCGCCAATTGGAAAATGTGGTTGTCTCCTACGTAGCTCAGATTATCTGTGCGCAATCTCCCAGCGAGGAGCCGGGCAAAGCGAAAGAGCCGGAACCGCAGCAAGAGCGGGCGCCCTAAATTGGCAGGCATGAGGGTGGACAGGGCTTGCGGGTGCAGACAGTGCAGAGCTGTTCTTAGAAAGTATAGTCACCAGATGTTCTGGTTTCAGGCTCCCAAACTCCCCTTCTGCGAGGATTGTGTGACAAGTTGTCTATCAAGATATCAGAAGTTGCTGGCATGCTTGCATTGTCAAGCTTGCTGGTAGAGGCATATTGTGGTTGAAAAGTCTCAACATTCCGTTGGTCATGGGGTTGTTGAGTATCCCTTTGAACCCGCAAACATGTGTTCGCCGTTGCTTCTTCCTACTCTCAGTGCTGGATTGCCGTTCTGGACATGCCTTTTCATCAAGAGACACCAAGGCGGAAAAACGAACGTTTGATGCGTTCGAAAGTGTTTTGCTCCTGCACCGAGGTGAGAAGAAGCCCTCCAGCCGGAGCCGTGCAGGTCCGGACCCGACTTGTGCACGTCGCAGACAGCAATCTCTCAAGTCGTTCTACAGTGCTGACTGCGCCCACTGAGCCCAATTTGGCCTTGGTGACCCTAGATTTACTCAAGATCTTGAGTTTGCCCCGTTTTTTTTTTTTTTGGATGAACATTGTCATGGCATGTACAATTCCTCGATATCTTGTGTTGATGGCTCGAGCGATGTCAACATGAGAGGACTTCGAGTGCACTTTGGGCTGCAGAGCCGTACAGAACACTCCCTGGTTGTCGGCACATGGTGCAGAGGTTGTATTGACTTAGAGTCTAAGGTCTCTAGCAACCACAAGGCAAGCCTGATCATCTTTGTTTGGCAGTGATACAATTTCCAAGCTTCCTTACAACATATTCGAGATCAAGGGACATTGTACTGTATGCCTTGCCTTGAATGACCTGCAAAACGCTAGGGGGCAGCTTTATCCTGCACCTTCCACAAATCCAGCATGCACAGCCTGTGCCCATCTCCTGAGCACCGCATGTTTCATTTTCAGTTGTTACCCTGCCCGCTTTTTTCCGCACAGGCCGCGCCGAGCAGAAGCGAGCCATCTCGCCGGAGCTGGGGGCTTAGATGCATGGTCTTGTAGCTGTGGGTCATTTTGAACAAAGGAAAGAAAGCCGTTCAACAGGACCTGGGCAGTCATGGGGGAACACACAACTTTGGAGCGTTGGAGCACCGGAGTTGGGAGTTGGGCAATGTGAACAGCTTTGACGAATCAACTTGCAATCTCATCCTTTGCATACATGAGGTCGCATGTCTATTTCGCGAATCAGCACGATGTTTCAAGATAATCTCCGATGCAACGATTTGACGGTTTCTCTGGTTTATCCTAAGGCGACACGCCGGAGCCTGTAACCAGATCGAGATATGCTCAGAACGAGCCCCTCAGGTCCATGCCGCTGCGGGAGGACGCCCGGCCGGCCGAGCCGGTGGCTGCCCAGGTGGCCGCCCCGGTGGCCGCCCCGGTGGCCGCCCCGGTGGCCCCGGCGGAGCCCGAGGCACCTCGGGCGCCGGAGGCTGGAGGGATGGGATGGCGTAAGGATGTTCGCTTAACAACTGGGTGATGTTGGGTCGTTCATTTTTGCTCTAGCAATCCGCGAGCGCGTGTGGGGTGTCTTTGTGTGTTTTGCGCGTTTGTTGCCAGTCTTGCTGCAGATAAGGTTTGGGGGGCTCGAGGGAGCTCTGGCGTCAGGTTGGAGCAAGGTTTCGGAGGTCCGGGTGGTCTGGTGCAGGCCAGGTGTTGGGTTCAAGGAAGGTTGCGGAGGTTGCAGGCCCGGTTTTGGTTCAATGAAGGGGGTGGTCTGGCGCAGGTCAGGTGTGAGGTTCAAGGAAGGTCCGTCCGCAGAGTTCCGCGAGGGCTTGGTTCCGCGAGGGCTTGGTTCCGCGAGGGCGCAGGGTTCCTCAGGGTCCGGGGCGGCTCTGAGGCAAGGTTCCACAGAGCTCAGGGTCCCGCGAGATTTCTGCGAGGGCCCGCAGCAAGGTTCTGCAAGGGTTCCGTGACGGTTCTGCGAGGGCTTCTGGGTGTAAGGTTTTGAAAAAGAGTGCTGCGTGCTGTTGGGGATATCGCCGGAGCTGATTTGTTTGGGGTGTGTGTGTATGTGTGATGGGCACGTGTTTGTTTGTTTTGCTTGTTTGCTTGTTTGGTTGTTTGTTTGGTTTTGTTTTGTTTTGTTCTGTTCTGTTTTGTTTTGCTTGTTTGGTTGGTTGGTTGATTGATGGTATTTTGCATAGCTTGGCTTTGCTTTGTGGTGTTGGTGGCGTGCGTGTTTGTCTGCGTGTTTATGTGTTTGCTGGCGTCGAAGTCAGAATTGCTTTTCCTGGTTTTGGCATTTGCAGCATCTTTTGCTGGTTGGTCTTCAATGCAACAAACAACATGTTAAGCCATTTTTGCAGCTACTGGTTTTGGGCGTGGGTCAAAATGAAGTCATTGGCCATCCTTGGCCGAGCCCATTTCTTCTTGACAAGCTGAGATTGCAGGATTGAATCTCAGATTGAGCAAGGGAACCTGCTCTCTGCCCTGACAGTGCGGGTTGTTTCCTGCAGATGAGAAGCTTGGAGGGGTCAGCCCAACCAGTTTCGCAAGAGATTCATGCTCTCTAGACTGCAACCTTTCGGTATGCGTTGCAGCCAACTTCGGCAAACATTTAGGAGGATGTTGGAGCTGTTGTAGAGGAGATGTATATCACAGAGAAGGGTAGTGATGAGCATATGGTCTCTCCCCAAGTTCTGGAAGAGCTTCTGGGAGCTGATGAATGACGTTGCAGTTGCTCAATTTTTTGCGGGACAATCTGTCCATGTCAACTTTTGTTTGTTTGCTGGTACTCCAAACCTTGTGATTGGTTGGCTTGGCCGCTTCACTTGAGGAGAGTCCAGTGGCAGAATTGTCGCGTTAAGTGTTGGGGTCATGTTGGCATCTTGGTTTCCGTTTTGGAGAATACCAACATCATTTTGAATCATCGCAGTGTGGCATGTGGTTTGTCTTGGCAAAAACAGTATGTGTCCCAGGTTGCAGCCCTTATTGCAAGCACTCTCGGCTTTTATGTGGTACATCCCTATTTTAAAGACATCTTGCTTTTTAAGGCAGCCTTAGCAGTTGCGTGCAGCCCTTCCAAACAAATCCTGTTGCTAGGCGTCTCCTTCTGGTGAGCCGGAGAAGCCGCGGAAAAGGTCAAAGTGGGACCAGGACTGGGTCACTGGCATTGAGGCTTTCTTGTGGGTCGTGAGGGCAGCATGGGTTGGTATTCGGCTGGGGATAAAAGCAAACCTGCCTGGCCCCTTCAATGATCAAGCAACCTTGTCCGCTTTTTTGTTTGATACCTCCGCGATTTGCATTACCCCCAAGGGGAGTGTCAACATTGACAGTTTTGCGAGGTGCGAAGAACCATAGAAGCAGGGCGGTTTTGTTGCCTCCCCAGACATCAGCTCCATATGAAGGAGAGGCGTTTGTGGTTCTTTTGTTTGCAGTACATCTCGCAGGTTTGCTGCTAAGTAGCAAGGTTAATTATGGCTTCTCACCGCAAGAAGAGTGAAGGGAGGTGTTGGGTAATTGAAGAAACATCAAGGTCATCTACTGGAAAAGGTGCTGCTCTTTGTAGTTGATATTGTCCGAACAGGCGGCAGGCAGATCCTTTCTGTGATGTTGCGGCGAGCGGAAGAGTGTGGGTCTATGTCAAACAGGCTTCGCTCACGCAGACCCACTTCAACACTATGACTCGATGAATGCGATTTGGTCGCGGTGATGCAGCCAAACCACCAAAATTACACCTCAATTCGATTTTCCCACAGTAACAAGGGCCAAAAGTTGCCTTCTCAAGCAGGTTCTTGGGGCAATGGCGTTGGGTGCCCTTCTGACTGCTTGCAGACGGGCCCTGGCGGACTGCCGGAGTGGTTGGCGGACTTAGCGCCCAAAGAGCCTCGGGCACGGAGCCCTGGAGACGGCTCCCGGTTGCGCTTTTGACCTGAGAGAGCTTTGACTTTAATTTGCCATGGCACGGACGCACGTCTTGATGTGCGCAAGGTGTACTTGCGTGACCTTGAGAAGGCAGGCGGAGGCACTGCCACGTTTTTGGCGGTCTTTTTTCTCTTTCTACTAGCACTCGCCAACATTTGTGATCATTAATCCGGATTCCAGACCAGGAGATCCATGAACGGGCTTCATGCCAGTTAGGAGGAAGCTGCAGGACAGGTTGAAAGATCATTTTGAACCCCGTTTGGGGAGCATTGCTGATCTTGCCCTGGTTTCCCCTCAAAGAGGGGATCACATGCCATTTCCTTCGATCGGTACCGAGTCGGGACTCCTGGCTATTGATTGGCTCTGTGATTCCTTTGCGCCGCCTTCTTGGCTCGGACAGTTACATATCATGGCGCCTCTTCTGCCACAAGCGTTACCTCAAGAGCGCTCCATGCCGCTTGGCCGGTTGCAATGCGCGGCGTGGGGGGGGGGGGGGGCGGGTTTGAACCAAAACATGATTTTTTGCAATAGCTTAGATCTCCCGCAGTGTTGCATGGACCTAGACTGGAATCAGCCCTGATCATGTGCAGCAGCACAATGGTTGATGTGAATGTTGTTTCGATTTGATGAATGGCATATCATAGACGGGTCTGCGACAGGAACCACAACATCCATTTGGTAGTTGCAGCGCTCAAGTTTTCAGTTTGTTTCCGATGGAGGCTGGTGACCGTGTCACGTGTTCTTGTCGCCTTGTGCAGACAGGAGATTTGCAGGCCCTTCAGAGTGAAGACAGGAAGCCTCTACGAACCCTGTCAGAGCCAGTGGATAGGGTAGAGAGCTTTCGAAGCTTGTCGTCATGTCAATATATCGTTTGGATGGGCACGGCAGGGACAGGCATCGCAATTTTGATCGCGGCTCATTTGGTCATCAAATTACCAACAGAGAGCCCTTGAATACATCTTTTCGCACTTCTTTTGCAGCCATTTCCAGAATCCTTGGCACGATTGTTTGTTGTGGTACGCCTCGGCATGTTCTGGCAGGCACTTGTAGGGCTGGGATTCCATCGATTCCCTTGCCTGGCGTTGCCTGCATTTGAGCAATGCCTTTGCTGTTGGCCAATTTTTCGGGTGGCCGGGTGAGGCTGCTTGCTTCGGGTTTTGGATGGCCTGAAAAGAGTTTTGAGATTTTGTCCTGCTTTGATAGAGGCATATGTCAAGGCTGCATGTATGAAAGGAGCCATTTTCTTGTTTGTTGTAATTGTTCCATTTGATCATAAGCCTCAGTCTGACAGTCAGTGGTGCAATCTCGGGGAAGAAATGTAAGCTTAGATGGTGGGCGCTTCGCTACATATATATTGGCAGTGGAACCTCGGCAGAGGATGTTGCTGCAGTTCATTGTAAGCGCTGAACCCTTGGAGAACTTCGGAGAATGCGGACAGTGTACGCCATGTTGAGACTGTTCTTCAATGACTGCGCCGGGCGTAGACACTCTCAAATCTTGGCTGTCCATCATGTTCGGGTTGTTCAGCGGCGCGTTGTCTCTAGTTAAGGTGGTTCAGTGAGCAGCCTTGTTTTTTTTTTTTTCCGGGTTTTTGAGTGTGGTGAAGCTTGATTCATGCTTTTGACAACCTTGGGCCATTGGGCCTTCAGCCCAGGCGCTGTTGGGTCCTCCTCGCGCTGCTGCCTCTGGCGCTCTCAGGCCGCGAGCTGCGAAGCGTCCCGTTGCAGTCGGTCGGTCAGTCGCGTGGAGCGAAGGCGCGGTGGAGGAGGACTGCGAGGACGACACCTGCGCCTTGCGGCTGGTCCAGCGGCAGGACGGCGATGCTCCGGGGTCAGAAAGTTTTTAAAGGCACGGATCTCCCCAAACTGAATGCCCTCGAATGGGGGGTTGAAGGGTGGTTTCCTTTGAGAGGGGCCAAACACCGCAGTGGGGTGCCTCGTGAAGGCAAATAGATGTTCGCTTGCGAAGGTTCATAAACAGGGTTTGCTGTCAGCAACACTAGGCACTCTACATTTGTGTAGACCAATCAGTCGTGACTCCCCGACACTCTGGATTCCTTAAATGTTGCAATTCAAAGCAGGACACCACAAATTGGTTTTCCTTGCTGGTCACGTCGATCCACATGTGTATTCTGGCTATTGGGGCGTAGAGTTGGATTGCGGCAGGCTGCCAAGATCTCGATCTCGACAGAGCTCAACACCTCGCGCCGCTCGACGCATGTGTTCCTGCTGGAGTTGTCGGGTTGTCCACAGACAGAAGCAAGAAGGGCAAGTTGGACATTGCGAGGTTTTGTTAGCGAGTGGGAAGAGTCCGCAGGACGTGGTTTTCGCGATTCCTTGTTTGTCATTCTGCGTTTTTTTGGGCGTGTGTATGCTACAGTTTGTTGGCAATAGCTGTGCATTTGGCTTTTTGAGCTTCTTGGGCTTCTCAATCTGTAGGGCATCGTGGTGTTTTGGCTCGTCTTTTTTTGCCTTTTGACTTTGGCCACGATCGTCACACTGGTTTCTTATCTCCACTGTTTCTCATCAAGTCTCTGCTGCTTCCCTCTTCCAGCAACATGCGCACCTTGCTTCAAGCCCTACCGAAGCGGTAAACTAGTTCTACCTGCCAAACATGGAACTGGCAGGTGTTGATGGATGTCAACTGCGATGGCCGGTTTGGCCAAGCTTCCAGCCAACGGAGGTTGAATCAACTTATGTAGGCTGCCCTCGGACGATCAGGTCCTCTTCGGCAGAGAGGCTTTCTGGAGGCTTGTTGAATGATTGCATTCCTGGTCTTCAAATGCTTCTTACTCCATTTGAATGGCATCGTGCAGAGTCCTTTGTTGTGAAGGAACAACACAGGGAAACACCCTCAACACACGCTGAATTGCACCTTACTGTACACGCACCCTAGACACCTAGATACTGCCTGGATACCTCCTCACATGTTGCCAGGTTCGTTTGAGCTTCGGGGACGCTTCAAAGAGTGCCCGAGGCGCGGAAAGTGGCGTTGCGTGGCAGGGCAACAAGGAGACTGGCACCTTGGCTGGAGAAGGTCTCGGCCTGTTGGCTTGTTGGCTAGCCAGCGTTGTTTTTAGCTAAGGCACCACGTGCCTGATCTACCACTGCGGCAAGGCCTTGGGCCCCACGGAGTGCCACCACTACCGCTGCATTTGTGCGCAGGGCTACCAGCGCCTTGGCATCCAGACCCGATTTCGCTGTGCTCGAAGTGGTTTCTTGGCATCCCTGTGCCCCGCTACCCAAACTCAATGCTAAAGAGCTGCCACCAACCCTTGACCGGCCCGAAGCCAACCCTACACGCAGCCTAGGCCGGCCAAACAAGTGACACGTAATCCAACATAGCCTTGCTTGAGCCCAAGCTCGAAGCTGAGCTTTGTAACACACCGTACAGCATACCAAACACGAGCGCCCCAATGCCAACACCGAGAATTTCCACAATACTTTGTCAGGATGTGCCAGAGTGTAAACAGCCAACGCCAAATTTTGCTTTAGGGATCGCACCGGCAACCAACTGAACAAGCAACAATACTTGTCGGGGGGGGGGGGGGCGTATCTACTATGAGTGAGGGGGAAGGGATCAGTCTGGAGCCTCTCAGCAGCCAGCTCAACCTTTGCCAAGAACAACCCATGCCGGTCCATGCTTCGATTGGCCTGTCCCACAAGCAGAGGAGTATGTCACCAATTACTAATATGATCTTCTGTGAGCAAGCAAAGCCTGGATCCATCGGGGGGGGAGCAAGCGATTCGCCAGCGAAAACAAGGCGCTCCTCGTGACTCGAGCGCTTGCCGAGGTTCAGCGACCTCACCAAACGCTGCGAAGCGGATAACTCTTCGCCCGTGCAGCGCGACACTGGGGGCTCCTGTGCCCTGGGCAGAACGGGCGCTGTCGGGGTTGGCCCCGCATCGGGGTTGTGGGCGCTTCATGGTCTGAGAATGTGGCAGGATCGAATTTCTTGATTTGGCTCAAGATGATGTGTGGATGGGCATGGTCTTGGCTGTTGAGTGAGTCTTGTCCTGGCATTCCTTGTGGCATTGTTTTTGAAAATAGATGCGCGGGCATTTGCATAAGAAGAGGTGTTTCATGTTGTACTGGTGAGTTGGGGGCGTCATGGAATGATTTGGTGCAATCTAGAGAAGCCCAGCAAACTTTCCACGATAGGCACAGAGAGCTGGTGGCCAGTGCCACTGTTCGTATCCCGAATCTGCTACAGCCTGGTTTAGTAACAGCGGCGGTGCCTGAATTCGTGTCAGTCATGAGTCATGAGAATCAACAATATGGGAGCACAGGCGACGCATGTATATGCACATTCTGAACAAATTTGTCCTTCCTTCAAGGCTAAAGCTTGGTCCCAGGTTTGGCTCGTGATGTCCGCGCCACCCGTTCGCTTCCTCGCTGCAGGCTGGATGTGGCCGTGCAGCAGGTGGCGAGGCCCAACGACTTGTGCCGCGGAGGAAATGGTGTGGTTTTCACAGGGTGGGAGGAGAGGATTGGCTGAGAGCTCATCGTCGCTTGTCCCTTGGAGCAGTGCTATTCGGCGATTTGCTGGCCATCTGCAGTAGTGCGCAGAGCGCCTGCACAAAGGAACGTATCATTTGTATTGATGATGGTGGCTCCCCTTGTGGTTTGTGGTGCAGGCCATTTGTGAAAGAAACCAGTGTTTGGTCAGGCGGTGAGGAACGGCGAAGGGTGTGAAGCACACGGCCGTAATGGACATGTTTCTGGGCTGTTTGTGGCCTCCGAAAGCCGCTAGGCCCTTTGCTTGGGCAATGACGTTGAAACTAGCTTTTCTCCACTCTCCTCTTACGAAGTAGGAGTCGCTCCATTATGTTGTCTATGTTGATTGCATTTTGTGATTGTCAGTGCACAGCGTTAGACCTTCTCAAAGAGACTTCGTTTCGTATTGAGATCAACTTGACAGGTAAACTGAAGCTTTTGCATGGAGCCAAACATGGATCTGACTGCTGTGTTGATGTTTCATGTGGATTCAGGATTGAACAAGGATTGCTCTTTGACATGTACAGCGAGACCCTAGAGGCACCACAGGGGCAGTCTTTGGGGTAGGCCTTGCAAACAGCAGTGTTTTCTCAAACGCTTGTTTGCAGGATAGTGTTTTTGTTCGAATTGCTGCAATTCTGAGAACATGAGCACCAAGCACGCATTACATCAAACTTCCTTCGCAGTTCAATCTGACACGCCTTGTTGTCAGCATCGCACGTCAGCCTGGGGCTTAAACGCCCGGGCCACAATCCAAGAGGCAGGATCATCTTTAAGCAGTAGTCATGTCAAGCAGCACCAGTCTGACCTTGAACAACTGTTGCTCGTGGTGCAGGCAATCCAGCCCACCTGCCACCTGCCTGGTTTGATCGTGTTCGCTTCTACACACAGACTTGGTCACCAAGGTGTGAAGCACAAGTGCTGGTGCCTTGCACCTTGGCGAGTGGCGACTAATGAAGACCCATGCCATTATTAGGGTATCAAACCCAAGCTCCAAATCTGGATCCATGACTGTAGCACGTGCAAAGAGCCCACAAGGTCTCACCATCAAGTTTTGAGATTCAGAACTGATAGCTCCCGTTTCGAAGAGAGATAGAGAGAGAGAGACGAGCGGCCAGCACAGATTTCCAAGTTGGGCTTTGCTCCTTCCAGGCCTCCCATGTGTTGGGGAACAATACTACACACCCTCTCTAACGCCGGCTATTTCGGACGCTTTGCAAAGAGGAATTGGCTTCCCTTCCTTTGCATACGAGGGTGCGGCTGGTTTCAACGATGAGACTCCATGACACAGAGTCAGACGTACCCCAATACTCAGGGGCCGCGACTACGTTCTTTGTGTTTGAACGCAGTCCGATGTTGGACTACTTAGGTCTCCCCTTCCGTGTTCCTTTCGTTTGATCAGTGTCAATTCGTATTGGGCAAAACCACATGTCTTCCCGCATGCCTACAGCCTCAGAACTGTGTGAGGGGTGCGCTGGGGTGGGCTGGGATACGGCCAGTGCCTCGCTCAAACTCTCTCAAACTCTTATGCTTTTGCCTTGTCCCGAGGTTTGTGGTGCTGGCTGCGTCCAAGCCGTGTGGCATTTTGCTGCATGGTCTCATCTTACAGCCCATACCACCTGTGAGTGGCCTCTCTTTCTGCCTCAGGCTAGGACGAGTGTGGTTGCGGCTTAGTACCATTGTGAGTGATCACAGTGGGAAGCGCCTGCAGGAAGCGCCTGCGGGAACCGCTGCCGTTCGAGGATGTTACGCTGTCTTGCCCTTATGCCGGCCAGTCGCGGTTCGCGATTGGTGCGGGTGGCGGGCCTGACTAGGCAGCAGCGCTTCCCCTGGCCACACTTATTTGGGTCTCTGAGCCTGAGGGGCGCTTAGCCAGCTTGAACTCCAAGTGGAGGCGGCGACGACGTTTACGGAGCCTCTGGCGAAGTCAGGCCTTAGGCAGTGGCCCTGCGCTTCCCACCTAGCGCAGCAGCTTTCGCTCACTCACTCACTCCCCTACGTTTGTTGTTGCGCTTGATGCTTCTTATGATTCTTATGATTATTGTGCGCAGCTCAAGCAGCAAGTTGTTTCGTCTGCTGAGCCTTTGAACGCGCCCGCCCACCCACCCTTGGCAGAATTGAATCCTAGTTGCATTCTGGGCCACTTGCTGCGCAGCGCACTGTGCTGGGTGCAGCTGGCCTTGTGGTTACTCAGTCCTGCAGGGCACAAGCCTGATAGCACGAGGGCATTAAGCAAGTTTGGACGGGGGCTTGCTTCCGGCAAGCTCGAGATCCATTTTGGGCCCTTAATGGCAAAGTAAACAAGGCAATCTGGTCCCACAAGCGCTTTGCGTTTTGGGTCGATTCGGACCTGAGGAAGGCTACAAGGCCGTGCGGGGCTACTGCGAGAAGGACTCCACACCGTTGCCGGAGACCACCACCACAGCTCCCGGCCGCTCGGAATAAATGTCTCATCCGAAGCTGCAGCTTGCCCTTGGGCCCAGTTGTTCTTTTTAGCGAACCGCCAGGTGGCCCAGTCATCCCAGTTGTTTTTTTTGTTGATCTTGTCATTTTGGGCAAGCGAGGCAGTCTTTGGGCTGAAGCGGTTTTCCTTTAGCCGTGCTTGGAATCCGCTTCCCTTCGCCCAGGCGAAGGCCTTGCAACGGTGCCTCGGAGGGAGTTTGGAGCGGTTTGCTGGCGGAGCTCTCACGGAAAAGGTGTTTCGTTGTTTTCAAGGTGGATGGATTTTGTGGGTGATTTCGATGAGTGTTTGCAAACCCCAGGTGTTTTTGGTCTGAGTTTTGGAGAGGTGGTGCTTTTTGGTGGGCGAGGCGCATGCCAAACAGGGCGTCCAGTCCATGTTGAAGGTCCTTTTCCTTTTTCACCCAGAGGTTTGGGTCCCCATCCTAGCAGACCGGGTGCCAAAATACAAAGTCCGGCTCGTTCATTCCCACAAAATAACCTCATGGCTTCATGGCGTGAGCCCCGAGGCCACTGGGGCGCCACCCGCCATGCAGACTTCCTGTGCCTGGGGCGAAGAGCAGCCCGGGGCCCGAGCAGCATGTGGAGGGGAAGCGCCTATGGCAGCAGGCAAAAGGATCCACGCAGTCACTGCAAACCAAGTGTGAGATTCTTTGCTCATGGGTATGTGTAACACGCTTGAGAATTCATGGAATATACGTTGCACCCAACACACGCAAACTTTCTAACTCAAGGAAGTCCCCAAGCCAGCTTGTCCCATTGAATTCCCTCATTACCAAGGGATGCGGGGACTTTTTCGCACCAGCCTCCACGCCAAGCTCCCCTTGCCTTCAAAGCGCAGCTAAAGTAGCTGTGACCAGTGACGCAGTCCGGTTGTCAACATTCATTCATGGTTGCGTGCACTTTGCTGGTTTATGAAAACCATCATTGAAAGACACGGTAGTTGATACCTACCACCCACCATACTCATTCACCTCGGGTATGGTGTGTCAATGCCTTGCCTTTGGGGCCTTGGGGACTAGCTTCCGCGCGATTTGCCGCAGGTGTGGCGGCCCGGGCTGGAAAGGCCCCACCTGCTGTGAGGCCCAGGGACACAGAGCACCTCCCGCAGCGTGAACATGGAAATTGTCGCATGGCCACACAGTTCCGAGTTTGACGGCTTTGTGATCCCTCTAGAGGAACAGATCCAATCTTGCCTGAACCGACGCAGCGCTTGACCGAGAGGTGACGTTTGTTCCAGAGTTCCACATGGAGAGGTTGCATATGTGCGCCCTGCCAGGCGGGCTACTACTGTGATGGCAAGGTGTGTGCGAAGGCAGGTTTGGGCAGACGGCTTTGCTGGAGCGCAACCTTGCAGTGACGATTGAGAGAGTTGCAGCGTCAGAGCAGCAAAAGAATGGGGGGCCACGAAATGTTTAGCCCTGGCCAGATCACGGAGACTGTAGAGGTGAAGAAGTACGGCTTTAGCTCCGCAACTTGGCCGGGGATGACTCGGAAGCTGTTCCGTGCTTTTGGCGAAAGGCAGGATAACCAGGACCAGCTCCGACAAGTCACTTTCAAAGAGATGGCACAATTGTCCATAGCGTGGCATGGGAAGCGGTACTTTGCGGATGACATGTTTAAAGACTTGCTTGGGATTGCTAGGGGTGGCCACGGATCCGTTCCGGGTTATAGAAGCTACTAGGATTCGTATACAGACAGCCCTGACCGTGGCCACCCACACAGAGCATTTTGACTCCACTGCATATAGAAGAGCTGCGTTTGTGCTGCCTCTCGGAGCAAGCACAGTAACGCATAATGATGTGCTGAAGCGGCATCGTTGAAACGGCTCGCCATTGTAACATGTTTTTTTCCTGCGCGCCTTTTTCCGCAGTGACTTCAAGAAGTTTTTTTTTTTTTGGGGGGGGGAACTTAAACTTAAACTGGAGACTGCGGCCTAGGGGGTCCAGTCGTCGATACGCAAACAAGCAAACAGGGAGGCTTTGCAGGTAGATTGCGGCATCCCATTAGAGCCCTGTTCAACAGGACCCCCTGTTTGTTGTTTAGAGTGTTGTTTGTGTGTGTGTGTACGTGTGCACATCGTGTTCACTCCGCGAAGAAAGGATGTAACATTGCTCGCAGCATGGACTAGATCACCTAGCCCAAATATACGCTGGCGGGCAATCGCATGGTTCCAGGATTCTTTCCGCCTTTTGACATCCCCTAGGGCAAAGTTTAACGGGGATGTGATTTAAGTAAGAACAAATGATGGGACCATCGCATCTCCAACTGGGCATGTACAAGGAGATGTGGGCTGGCACTGTGAATTGTGTTTGGCCGCAGCATTCTGGGTCTCACTTTTGATTTGAGTTTTGAGGGTTTCCCTGTTCAACCTCATTTGAGATGAAGCAAATCCCTCCAACTTGTACTTCCACAACGCAGGCATCCTTCTATCCCTCCAAAGACATGCTTGTTGACCGGATGAGTTTTGGTCGCAAAGTTTCACTCATCACTGGCCTTTGCCTGTGCCCCATCTAGGCTTTGGCACGTGCTTTGTCGACACATCAGCACTCAGGATCTTCGGAAAGCGAGCAAAGGCGCTGGGCCGGTGGTTGGCTACCAAGGGAACACCACCACTTGTTGGGCTGTAGGCAATGGAGGGCATGCGAAATGTGAATCACGAGCCATGTTGGCATGGTTGTTGTTTTCACCGGTTCCACTTGGTAGATGCCAACTTCAACAAAGTGTCGCATCCCAATTCTGGGGTGGCATAAGCCATGCCAACGTGACATGGATCTTCAAGATCAACTCTTCGTGATCAGCCTTTATTTTTGGGTCATTTGGGTAGTACTATGACCCTGCAGCTTTCAATATGCAAACAACACACCTTGAGATTTGGAGACACGCAAGATGCCCATATATGTGGGGTGTGTTCTTTGAGGGTACCTGTTCTTGGTCGTTTGAAAGGGAAACCGAAAGGAACGCCGCCCCCTTTTTGGGGGTCCCCTGAGAAGCTCCTTTGGCCTTCCCTGCATTTAGCTCTTGAAATCGTGTCAGACAAACCGGCAACAGCGGTTTGGCTGGTGGCCCCAGCCTCATGTTGCATGACAGAGGTCACAACCATTGTGGCAACCGTGTTCTTAGTGGCTGTCAGTTTCAGCGCCCACCAACGATCCAAAATGGCCGCAGTCCCACACTGGCAAGGCCAGCCATTTGTTGCGCCCGATCGATCCCTTGTCAGGCAAGCTCTTCACCTTCTACGTTTACCGCGCCCAGGGGAAGACAAGCTACCCCCCCGAGAATGTCAACGTGGCGGACCTCGGCGGGGTGATGTGGTGCCTCGGACAACTCTTGAAGTTCCACAACAGGCTATTTTGGCACTTTGCTCCCCCCCCCCCCTTGAATGCGCTGGAAGCGAGCCAGGTCCAAGATGTAGTGAACAGAAGCTTGGGGAATTGTGAGAGTGTTGTAGGACAAGCTCAGTCTTCTCGTGCGCTTTGGGGAGGAGGCTCTCATTTCGCAGTACGCAATATGTTGGTGCTTTCTAAGACGCATGTGAAAAGTTTCCTTGGGTGAAAGTCAACCATGAAGCTATGCAAAGCAATTTGAACGCGCTTCAAGTAGGCAGAATGGGCCAACATTTTGTTGGTATGGTTTTAAGAGACCTTCAAAAAGAAACAGGGCATGAGGGAAGCTTCCTGAGGTACCTTCACAATGAGATTGTGGGCCGGGCGGACTGGGGCTACAAGCGAAAGTGCCTTGGTTTGCAGAGTGACAGTTTGTGCTGGCATACGCTGAGGCGCACAAAGAGTTGGCTTCTGATCATGACACTAGTCTGATCTGCAAAGGGGGCCTTCCGTTGTACCGGATTTCCGGGGGAAACAAAGTTTGCTCGTCACTAGCGCTTGAAAACAGTGAACATGCGCAATACGTTAACGAAGGCTGGTCCACGCACGGAACTGTATCAAGTCAGAGACCTCCAGATCGTGGGTTCATCCCAGTCGTGGTTTTTGTTGACGCGTTTCATCCCATGCAAGCATTGGAGCAACATATATAAGGTGTACTCGCAGAAGGGAATACACACCATGACGCTGCTTAGTGTGACTGTTTGTGTGCTTCCTATGTTGAATTGGCAAAGTTAGCAGTTCGCGTGATGGATCTTGTGTCAAGTGTGACCAGCTCGCGGTGAGTGAGATGCCGGACTGTGCACAGGTTCGACATCACCCGCATCTTGCGCCGCCTGGCCGTTTCGGTAGAGGCAGGAACACATCGAGGATGCGCACTTTGGTGGCTTTCCAAGAGATCCAGTCGAGTGGCATCACATTCCGTCTTCTACTTGGTTTATAAAATTTTACTTGAACCTTACTCAATACAAATACTACTAAGGACAGCTTGTCTCAGAGTTCTGATCGAATAATTGTCACAGCACGGGTGACAGAGCTGTGGTAGTGCTAGCGGTGCTAGTAGTGCTAGTAGTGCTAGTAGTGCTAGTAGTGCTAGTAGTGCTACTTGTGGTACTCGTGGCGGTTGTGGCAAGCGTGGCAGTAGTGGTCAGGAAGGAAGAGCACTAAATATAATTTAGCATTATTTGGAGGCAGACCAATAAACATTTTTCAGGCGGCCTGAGGTGACTCTCGCAGCCTTGGCTGGTTGTCAGCTTGGACATTTGACTGCATTCGAGCTATCAGCGAGACCATGTGAGACCTATCTTGCCTTCCACTTAGGGGTGCAGCGTGATCGCTGTAGGAACATGCCGACTGCAACACTCAATTTGCACATTTCAGGCGCCCTCCACTATGAAAGCCTTAGAGTTGTATCAAGGGAGCCCCTTTGCGCTTGCTCCGGTGAGAGCTCGACTTGATTTTGGTTTCCTGTCAGTAGCTATCCCCTCGCGTTAGTGAACTCAGGAACACTTGCTGTAAATGAGGCCAGACGGTTTATGAGCAAGCAACTGTCGCAACACCGCGACTGATTTCTCAAGCCACTTTCGCTTTGGAGCCTGCCAGCTGCAGCATCGTGGGCTTTTTGTTGATCCCAATGCGAGACACCTTCAATCATATATGTTTGACATAAACAAACGGGTGCCGGCCAGGTCTCACCTTTTCTTCTTCGTGCACAAATCCAAGAACCTCAAACACAACTGCCTCCACACAAAAGGTTTGTGTGCTGTTTGAGGTTTTCTTGGTGCCCTCTTTTTTTGGTTTACCTGGTTTACCTTTGCTTCCAAAGAACCAATTCAATCCCAAATGTGGGGTTCCATGTGCCGTCTTGAGGCTACAAGGTGCAGAGCAGGGCCACGCAGGCCTTGGTGGATCGGGGCATGAACTTTGGGGTGCGCTTCGCCTTCGACTCAGGCGAAGGGCTGGGCTGGGGCGGAAGCTTCGTTGGAAGACCTTGCGAGGGGCGAAGTCGAGCTTTTCGGACCTGTGTCACGTGTGGGAGTTATTGTAAATTGCTTCTTCTGGCAGTGTAATTGGGAAGGGTTGTATGTGGACAACAGGCGCAGAGACAGAGGTAGTAGACGGCCATGCATCCAGTCATGATTTGCCAAACCCTGCTCGAGATGTCATGGCCAGCGTGAGTCGTTTTCCGGCGTGTTTGCCTGGACGTGATAAATGTGCATGCACAATTGCATTGGCGTCCGGTCTCAAGTCCAAGTATGGGCCGTTCTAGATCCCTCTACTTTGCGTAATTTTATTGCATTGTGTTGTGTTTGGCATGTCGCATAGGCTTTGGTGTCACACAGTTCAGCCGCCTCCTTTTGCCCTAGCCAAAAAGTTCGCTGATGGCAATCGGGGGGTGGCGCTGTGCGGCCTGCCGCAGGCCAGTGCACAGGGCCCTTCAGCTGCGACGAGGCCTGGCAGAACTACGGCCCCTTGGAGGAAATTGAAGCGCGCTGAAGTAAGCCCGTGTTTTCCCTTTTACTGTTTGCTTTGGCTTGAGCTTTGTTGTTTTGTTGTTGCTTTTGGCTGCTTGTGTTTTTGCTTGCTTGCGCCTGCCTGCCTGCCTGCTTACTTGTCTGCCTACTTGTCTGCCTGCTTGTCTGCCTACTTGTCTGCCTCTGTGTGGATGTGTGTTGTGCTGCTTGGTGAATGCGTGTGCGCACGTTTACGTTTGTTTTAGTACTGTGCTTTAGATTGGTGTGTGGCACGGGCGCCAAGTTTGAGCTGGCGCTGCTTGTACAACTGGAGCTTTATCAAGTAGTGGTGTAGCCCTCGGCTGAGGGTATCAGTGTTGATGGTTGTCAGCTTTGCTTGAGATGCCGACAGGTTACGTTGTGGGCTGCAACAAGCTGCAGACTGGCTTCCCCTTCCCGGACTTCAAGGTGGCCTATGATGGCACTTGGCTGCCCGGCCGGCTGAGAATGCATCGAGAGATGCTGAGAGTTGCTGTTGGTGAACAGCGCACGGCCAGGATGGGTTTGTGCCCATTTGTAGCGTGCTTCTGAAACAGCAGACACGTGTTTGCCTGTGTATCCGAACTGTCACTTTGCAAACTGGCACCTGTTTACGAGCTGCAACCTTGGAGCTTTTTTTGGTGTTGTTGTTTTGCCCACTTTGAGCCCTGTTTGCACATGCAAGGTACAGCCTTCCTGGAAAGTGCCCGCAGATGAAGTTTTTCGATGCTCGGCGTTTCTCAGGCTTCGCTGTGTAAAATGTTTTGCAACTACATACAAGGGAGCCAGGACCGAGTACAGGCGGCGTTGTGCCTACTTCCAAGCCATAACTTAGCTAAGTTGACCACGGATGTGTGGGTGCGATTCGCGCAAGGCATCGTTGCAGGAGCACGACTGCTGTCAAAATGCGCTAGGATTTTTGTGGCTGCACTTCGCCTGCTCGATTGGAGCCGGAGGGGACATGCATGGCAGAAACGGAACATGTCGGCTTTGCGCTGAGGAGAAGACCAACAAGAGCGAAGGCAGCCGTGGCCTTGACTGCCTCGCCAACCAGCCCGGAGGCAGATGGGGTTGACAGATGCCGAAGGGAAAGAGGGGGTTGGCCGCAGGCAAGGAAAGAGTGTAGGCTGGGTTGGTTCGTTGACTTCAGCCAGAGTTTACATTGTCGCGCCCTCCCCAGGCTGAGGAGCTCACTTAATTGACAAACTCTGCTTGCTGACAGCTGTTTCGAGCCTTGATGTTTGAGAATGATGTGCGCACCCTGAGTTGAAACCATTGCGTTGCATTTTGCTTCAAGAGGGTATGACTATGGGCTGTTAGACTCAGTATAGGAATTATAGGAAGAACTGAACGACTACGGCAACTCGGACTTGCAGGCCTTGACATTCGGCAAGACTGGCATTCGAGAAGCATAATTTCTCCGAAAGCAGAGATTTCCATTTCCATGGCTAGCAATCTGAGACGCAGCTACCGATGCGGCGCTTCGTTTTTTTGCGGCGTTTCCCCACCTCCGCCCGGTTCGCCACCTCCGCCAGGCTTCTGCGAGGAGCCCTCCGGCACCGCGGATTGCACCTACAACTTTGCAGCTCGGCCGTGTTTCTCGTTGCCGGGAGGGGATGGATCCCGTGTCCAGGCGACTGGTGGGATTTGGGGTGCGACTTGGTGCCCTGAGTGCCCCTTGCCTGATGGGCACTAAGATCTTTTGAGAATTTGGGACTTCGAGGTTTACTCTGTGCCTGCACCAGCACAACCCGCTAGCTGGGTAGACCTTTCTTGGGGGTCTTTATTTCTCAAAATTGAGACAAAAGGCAACCCCAGGAGCCTTGAAGGGCCCAGTTTATCAGTTGTTTTGTGGGATGGGGAGAGACTAATGCATGAGGCTTGCATCCTTTACGAGCGGTTCCTTTGCGGGCCTTGCATAGGAAGTCAGGAGAAAGGCGGCAGGTCATGACTGTGGGCAACGCAAGGTTGTGGGCCATATGTGAGGCCAGTTTGCTGGATATTCAAGGACATCACGGTGTCGGCGTGTGTGTGTGTGTGTGTGTGTGTGTGTGTGTCACGTGTTGTCTCATCAGACAAAATGTCACCAGAGGGCCTTGTGTGCCAAGATTCTTGTCACATGATGTGAGGCCAAATGTGGCCCAATCAAGTGTTTAGTCCCACCTTTAAGAAAAGGGTCACTGCCTATTGTTCAGGTCACAACGTTGGCGGAAATTAGAAGCCTTTTCTGCTTCTCAGGTGGCTGCAATAATGAGGCTTTTGCAGGCACAGAGCTGGCGTAGGATTGTTGTGAGAGAAAACTTTGTATGGCATGGGCCTTGAGTTGTCTAGCACTGCCATGCTGATTTTTCCGGAGCGGCCATGGCCAGTGTCAGGAAGATGCCGGGGAGATCGATCTGGACGAGCTGGAGAACATCAACGTGGCTTGGCAAGGTGAGCCCAGGAGGCCAGAAGGCACCAGGTTGAAAAGAGAAGTCGGCAAGGAGCTCCTTTTGGCCCACAAAAGTGATACGCAGCCTCAACTGTTTGTTTTTCTTTTATCCACCGCTTCACGTACATGCCTACAGCACTCCACCGCAAAGCCCCTGAAGGGGTGGTTGAAGGGCTGTAGAGTTTATGATACGGGAAGATTTGGGTTCCCACAACTCAAGCAGCAAGTTGAGTGCTCCTGCAAGGCTCGAACAGTTTCAGGTGTTTGAGCTGGTTGCAGAGTGGTGATGCACTGTGGATGGTTTAGCGAAACCAGCTTGTGCTTCTTCTTGCTCTCTTTCCAATTCTTGATTTTCTTTTGTCATGTTCTTGTTCCTGTTCCTCTTCCTGTTCTTCTCCTTCTTTCTTGGTGTCACAAGGCGCCTGCTTAGTGGAGCGAAGAGAGCCAAGCTTGCAAAATCTCGCATGTAGCATAGCTAATTTGTGCCTTGTGGCCAGAAGGCGAGCTTGTCGCCCCTTGTTTTCTCAAAGGAAGAGAGCAGAGATAGCCAGACTTTCCCAATTCTTGCAATGCTGAGGGGGACTACGATGGCTGGATCAAGTCCGGCAACCGTGAGTACGACAGGCTTTGACCTGCATTGTCTTGGCGTGCCTAATGCAGGGTCAATATCGCTCGGCCTTCTAGTTTGTACCCGCAAGTCAACGCACACCACACTTTTGCTTTGCTGGCTTTGCCCAACGATTTGTGCATGTTGAGAGATGGAAGGTGCATCTTTAGGCATGAGTTTTTGCTTGGCTCAATGTTTGCCACAAGCGAATGCTTGCGCTTGACCTCACAAGGTCACTTTGCATGACAATTGCAAGGCAGAAGTAGGCCGGGGCATAGGGTCTGCAGCAAAACACAATCATTCCCTGGATATTTGGACAGGCCGGGACTGTTCGCGCCACGGTTGAAGGTTCGCCAGTGTCCAAAACAGTAGCGATGGGCTTGTTCCACTTTGCTTTTTGTTTTAGCAACACCTTGTTCTCCTGCACCCGCGGTTCCACCATGGCACCATGGGACGACTGTAAATGCCGAAGGATCACGGACCACGGCACGGGCATGACCTTCTGGGACAAGCTGAACGATCCTGAGCTGGCAAAGAAGCGGGTGGCGGCGGCGAAGGCCTTGTTCGAGCGACTTGGCCAAGAACTGAAGGTGGGAAGTTGCTGTTGGGAAGCCAAACCAGTTGGTCTTTGGCTCGGGCCTGCCCTACGCCCAGATTTGCTGCGAAACGTGTCAAGAAAGCACGGGTTGTCAAGATGGCAGACGATTTCTCCTTTAGAAGGATGTTCCAGATGCTCGCGCATGGGGAACTCAGCTGATGTGGCTCAATCGGATGCGACTTTGTCACAGGGAGATGCTTGGTTAATTAGACAGAACAAAACCAGCACAGTTTGTTTGTTTGATTGTGAGTGCTCCCTGGCTGCCCCACACGTGAGTCACACGGATACAGGAGCAGTTGCTCCTGTCCCGCCTACTTCAATGATCCCTCTTCAGCGCGGGAGAGAGCGAGCTGAGCCCTGATTAGCCAGCCACCCTTACCCTTTGAATCATCCGCCAAAGCTACCCCATGCACTTGGCTTAGTGTGCTCTTGGAATGACGCAGAGGATCTCAGCCCAACTGCCTAGGCTTGTCTTGGCTCAAAAGGGTGAATTGCAAGGAAGACTCCTTTGCCTCACTCGCAAGCGCCAGATGGAATGAAGCGAGACATTGACCCACTTGCAGCGCCAAGCGAGCCAGACATCAAGCGTTCCAGGCAAACATCGACATCCTGGTTCGGGTTGCCCCCGCGGCTGGTGGAGGTGCATGGCACTGGAGGCTCTCAGACTTTTCATTTGCCCCAAGGGATTTTGGATAAGATCCCCTACTTTCAATCGCAGCAGCAGCGGTGGGCCGACGCGGATGCCCCGCTCAAGCTGGAGCTCCCGTCCGGCCTTGCCGCAGCAGATTTCGCGCTGCTCTTGGAGCAGATGCTGAGTCGCATGACGTCCAAGCAGCCATCTGATCTGCAGGAAGCCTTGCAGCTTTGCCAGCTGGCTTCTCAGCCTTTTGTGGCGGGGTGCGTGTGTGTTGCTCAACGTTCAGAAGGTTTCCTGCCGCAAGCGTCTGTCACGCACAGGTATTAGTTTGACAAATCCGCATGAATTGCTTTCAACCCTCGGTACGAGCAATGCCTGCGTTTGTTGCAGGCATTGGTTCAGCCGCCCACCCCTTTTTGGCATGGTCTCAAGTCACAAATTCGAGCGCCTTTTTTTGGTTTCGGGCTGCCGACTTGGGGCTTGGGTTCCAGGTTGAGTCTCTTCCCAGGATGATTGAGGTTTCTCATTCTACTGTTGTGGAAGCGGCATTGGTTTGAATGCTTCTTCTTTATGGGAAGAGGGACATGCAGGCTATTCCGTGGCGGAGACGAGCTGTCAATCAAACCTCAAAGCAATTTGGATGGCGAATGCCTTTCCCACCAGCAAAGCACAGCCGCGCACAGACAGGTGCAACGGCCCTTCGCTTGAGAACACCGCCCATTGTCCTTCTGAAGTGGAGCGCTCGTGTCCGTTTGGCAAGGACAGTCTTTCATACCTTCCACCCCCATCAAGTGTTCGACGTTTGCCGCCAGCTCAAGCTCCGTGCCTGAGAATGCTCTTTGTGTTTTGCGGACATTTCCCATGTGCTTTGTGGAAGGAGCGCGCCCCCCAAGCTTTGCGTACCAAAAGGCTCCTCCAAGTTTCATGTTTTATTTTCAACGGCTTGTTTCCTGATTGATGTCGACTAGGCTTGCTCCCCAACGCCAAACTTGGCCAACTTCGTCACGCCTGCATACCCCTTCGATAAGGGGTGGGGGGGTTTGTTGTTCGGGGGGGTGGGGCTCGAGGGGGGGGGGGTCGAACAACAAGTGCGGGGAGGGGGGGGGGGGAGGACTTGTTGTTCCCGGGGGGGTCGAACAACAAGTGGGGGGGACTTGTTGTTGTTCGCGGGGGGGGGGTCGAGCAACAAGTGGGCGGGAGAGGACTTCTTGTTCTGGGGAACAAGGGGGGGGGACTTGTTGTTCCCGGGGGGGTCGAACAACACGTGGGGGGGGGGGGACTTGTTGTTTGGGGGGGGGGGGGTCGAACAACAAGTGGGGGGCTGGTTGTTGTTCGCCGGGGGGGGGGTTGAACAACAAGTGGGGGAGGGGGGACTTGTTGTTCCGGCGGCGCCCTCCAAGTGGGCGTTCAGAAGGCAGAGTCTGAATCCCCTCTCAAAAGTTTCGGGGCCTTTCGCTTCAAAGCGAAGCTTTCTTGGCCGCTTTGGCTTGTCCATCTTTTGCAGGGGTGGGGGGGGCGAACAACAAGTGGGGGGGGGGGCTTGTTGTTCGGGGGGGGTCGAACAACAAGTTGGGGGGGGTTTTCGTCAAACAACAAACCCCCCCACCCCCGCTTATCGAAGCGGTCTCCATACCCCTTCGATAAGGGGTGGGGGGGTTTGTTGTTCGCGGGGGTGGGGCTCGAAGGGGGGGGGGGTCGAACAACAAGTGCGGGGAGGGGGGGGGGGACTTGGACTTGTTGTTCCCGGGGGGGGGTCGAAACAAGTGGGCGGGAGAGGACTTCTTGTTCTGGGGAACAAGGGGGGGGGACTTGTTGTTCCCGGGGGGGCAACAACACGTGGGGGGGGGACTTGTTGTTTGGGGGGGGGGGGGTCGAACAACAAGTGGGGGGCTGGTTGTTGTTCGCCGGGGGGGGGGTTGAACAACAAGTGGGGGAGGGGGCGACTTGTTGTTCCGGCGGCGCCCTCCAAGTGGGCGTTCAGAAGGCAGAGTCTGAATCCCCTCTCAAAAGTTTCGGGGCCTTTCGCTTCAAAGCGAAGCTTTCTTGGCCGCTTTGGCTTGTCCATCTTTTGCAGGGGTGGGGGGGGCGAACAACAAGTGGGGGTTGTTCGGGGGGGGGGTCGAACAACAAGTTGGGGGGGGGGGCTTGTTGTTTGGGGGGGGGGGTCGAACAACAAGCCCGGGGGGCGGGGAGGCCGGGGAGGACTTGTTGTTGTTCGCCGGGGGGGGGGGAGTTGAACAACAGGTGGGGGGGGGGGACTTGTTGTTGGGGGGGAGGGGGTCGAACAACAAGTGAGAGGGGGGGGGGGACTTGTTGTTGTTCGCCGGGGGGGGGGGGGGGGGTCTTGTTGTTCCGCGTTTTCGTCAAACAACAAACCCCCCCCACCCCCGCTTATCGAAGCGGTCTCCACGCCTGAGGGGTTCAGAAGCTCAGGCCTCGATGCTGGACTGTGACAGGGACTTTGTGAGCGTCTGCGTCGACCAGATCCGCAGCTTTCTGCGAACCGAGGAAGACATGGCTGTGCTGCGCAGTTTCGTGGGCGAACGCCAAATGCCCAGTGCGCTGGGCAACCTGGCCAGGGCCCTGGAGGACCCGCGCTTGGAGCTTCCGAAGCTTGAGAAGATGTATCAGCAAGCCGTCAGAAACAATCACGCCGACGCGCTGGAGATTGTAGGCACGCAGTTGAAGCTTTGGTGTCGGCAGGGGCCAGATACAGTCGAGCAAGTGGCGGGCATTTTGGGAAAGCCCGTGCCACCTCACCTTTCGGGGATGCCGTTGGTCTTGCAGTTTCTGGAAGCGCACCCAGAGTTTTATGGCAGCTTCAGCAAGAAGTTGTTCCGCTTTGAGAATAACAGGCTTTTCACACTGTCGCCTCCGCGCAGATCCAGAAATTGGTGCGACAACGATGCCGGATTCTGCATTTCCTTTATGACGCTTGGAGCGCGAAAATATGCGGAAGGCAAGCTCAAGCTTGAGAATTTCGAACCATTTTTTGAGGAGACCCTGAGGCAAGGGAGTTACATTCAGGATGGATGCCTGCTTGTAAGATCTTTGTCAGGCACCTGTCATTTGGCAGACATGATGAGACGGCTGGATGCTCCAGCTCAAACTGCAATTTGCAATATTGTTTTTGGATCACAGAGTTTTGACGAGCTGATGACAGCCAGCGCAGTCGAGCCCCTGACGCAGGCAGCCAAGGAGATGCTTCAGCAAAGACTCGAGATATGTCCGGTGGTTGTCCTTCGAAATGTGCTCACGGAAGATGTCATGCAGTTGCTGTCCCGCTCTATGCTCTTCAGATTGGCACCAAGGGCATTTGATTTGGAGCCGACAGTGCGCGATGCTTTGCTTAAACACGCGAAAGCTGCGAGCCTGACTGATGTAAGCTCTTTTTGATCCTTCACATGACCTTCGGTTACCCTCCAACGCTGCAAGGGCCGGGTCAATTGCGTGGCCTCGCGCAAAGACGCGCAGGCCGACCAACTGAGCACTCAGTGTTTCCAGATGGTTACCGACTTTCCTCAAACATGCATTGCTGCTGCCTCAATCCATAGTTGGTTTCGGGAAAAGAGCCAACTCGGGCGAATCCGAATCAGCTTGCCAGAGCTGGCAACGACACAGACAAGCCAACAGATGGTTGCTAAAAGCTGATTTGAGCGCTAGGATGGGGTGAAGAGGCTTCACTCGGCACGGAGCTTTCCTTGGAGATGTGCAAAACAATTTTCTGGCACGTGTTGCCCACCTCTCCCTCTCGCAAAGGGCCACAGGAAGTGCTGGTGTTTGGTGGCTGTTGCTGTCCCAGTGTTTATTTTTTGCCGCCCTAATTGCTGGCTGTTGCAGCCTGCGGGTGATGCATGGTGAGTGATGCAAGACACTCCAGAAAAATGTTTGCAAGAATTGTCACGAGGCTGCGGAACACTCTTTGGTCTAAGGAAAAGAACACCGCCCTGGTATCGGAATAGCTTCAACGCCACAAGTACGCTTGGAGTTAATCCTTCTTTCTTGCTAGACACAGAGACCCTTCCAGCCCTCTTCCTCAGGAAGCACTATCCGGGCTCCTACGCAACTTGGCTTGGCCAGATGCCGTTTGGATTACCCTGCTTGCAGATGGGTCCACGCAGCCGGCCACGCAGCACAGTCAAGAGTTTGAATGTGAATTGTGTAAGCACTTTGTTCGCAACGGGGGATTCTGACATATACGGACACATGGCAAGTAGATATGATACTGTCATGCTGAATTTCTGTACATTGAGTGTTCCAGCAGGCGTTGTTCTGTGGACGCCTTGTCGGTGTTGGTCCAAGAGGGCTTTTCCCAAGAATCGCTACAACCCTGAGGAGTTTCTTACCCTGTGGAGCTCGTCCATGGCACCATGTCGTGCTAGCTTCGCGTACTTTTCACTTGCTAGCCTTCAATTTGTGCTACAATGGTACTTCTCGCAGTGCCAAGCTGGTGTTGTTCCTCTGGCTTGCAATGCTTCACCGCCCGATTGGAGATTTGACATCACATGCCATCAACCAAAAGCTGTAGACATGCACAGACATGCATTTCCCTTTGAACTTGACCCTTGCCAGCCGCTTAGGCCCTCGAAGCTTGGCTCTCCCTTTCAGTGGCGCTCTCAGGATGACATCGACGAGCCACCCTGTGACTTCGATTTTTTCGCCTTCTACAAAATGGCACCAGGAGGGTGGCTGCCTCAGAGGGGCACAGTGCCTTCCTTCTGTCCAAAACAAAGTTTCACGGCTGTTGAATGACAGCAAAATCCTCTAGAAAGCTTCCTGCGCGTATGAATGGGGAGAGGAATCAAAGGCAATGCGAGTTCCAGCTTGCCATCTACGGAAACTTTTGAGGCTTGGGTGCGGATTCATTTGAGCCATGACAAAGCAACAACGACTCAGGCCGATTTGCCATGCTTCCATTTGTTGTGAGGCATTTAGATTGATTTCGATCATTGGGGCGCTGGGGTGGCCATCCTTGGCTGGTCCCATTCGCGCATATGCACATCTGAAGTGTCTTGTATGGTCGGAGGTCCCACGCTTTGGAACAGATAACTCAGATAATCTGATCGCTGGTTTGGGCAGGCAAGTTTGCAAGTTTAGCCACCGCATTTGCCGGGTGGCCGAGGTTCAAGGACAACGGACCGCAGCAGCCCAAGAAGATAAAGGCCGGCAAGTCGTGCCGGTTGCTTGATTGGTTTGTGTAAAAGCGCCACTTTTACAAGTCGGCGATGAATTTCTGGTTCCCTTGGCTGAGTGATAGAAGCGGAGGCAGACAATGACAGACTTTCGTTTCACACGCGTTGCGCTTTCCATGAAACAGCTAGTGCTTGTGTGACCAGATGCAGATATGTTTTGCGACAGACCAAGCACGACATGATGAAAACAAATACAGAAGGTTATGCATGTCAGACTGAACACACAAGCAGTTCGACGAAGCTTGTTTATACTTACGTTTGACAAGCAAAGAGGGAGGAACTGAGAAGTGACAAAGGCTTAGCGGGTTGGGAGGTTGGCGAGAACTTTCTCTCACTGCGAGGAGCCGCCCTGCGGAAGTGCTCAGCCGGGCGACAAATGCTACGAGGCTTGGACCTTGTGTTGGCTTTCGGTACATTGATGGCATGCCTATTTCCCTTACATTATTGCCTTAAACAGGGCTGTTTCGATGACGATACGGTTCGGTACCGCAAGCTCCGCGATACCACTCGATTTTATTGATATGTATTGCTTTGAATATCCGATAAACTTGCGATGCAGCAGGGGAGTATTGAACAATATCTCGATAAAGGAATATACTCAACCGCTGCGGCCCTGCGGCTGCGCGCTGGTGTGCGCCAACAGGCCGGGAACCTCGAATTCGTCGCCAAAAGCCCGAAAGAAGCAAGAATCGAGCCCGCACTTCCACAGGTGCCAGAGCCAAAGAAATCCACCACACCAAAGTACTCAAAAAAAGGTATGAAATCGACATTGACTTTGGTCCGGTTGAGGAGTTCCCGAACCCCTCAAAAACGATCTAACTCGCCGAGTTAGGTTGATTTCTGGCCTTGGCTGGTTGCAGCTGTCCCGGATGAGCCCTGGGAAGTGGGAACCCTCAAAAACGATCTAACTCGCCGAGTTAGGTTGATTTCTGGCCTTGAGCCCTGAAGTGGGAACCCTCAAAAACGATCTAACTCGCCGAGTTAGGTTGATTTCTGGCCTCGGCTGGTTGCAGCTGTCCCGGATCTGCCCTGGGAAGTGGGAACCCTCGAAAACGATCTAACTCGCCGAGTTAGGTTGATTTCTGGCCTCGGCTGGTTGCAGCTGTCCCGGATGAGCCCTGGGAAGTGGGAACCCTCAATGAAAAAACGATCTAACTCGCCTGGTTACGTTGATTTCTGGCCTTGGCTGGTTGCAGCTGTCCCGGATGAGCCTTGGGAAGTCGGAACCCTCAAAAACGATCTAACTCGCCTAGTTAGGTTGATTTCTGGCCTTGGCTGGTTGCAGCTGTCCCGGATGAGCCCTGGGAAGTGGGAACCCTCAAAAACGATCTAACTCGCCGAGTTAGGTTGATTTCTGGCCTTGGCTGGTTGCAGCTGTCCCGGATGAGCCCTGAGAAGTGGGAACCCTCAAAAACGATCTAACTCGCCGAGTTAGGTTGATTTCTGGCCTTGGCTGGTTGCAGCTGTCCCGGATGAGCCCTGGGAAGTGGGAACCCTCAAAAACGATCTAACTCGCCGAGTTAGGTTGATTTCTGGCCTGGCTGGTTGCAGCTGTCCCGGATGAGCCTTGGGAAGTGGGAACCCTCAAAAACGATCTAACTCGCCGAGTTAGGTTGATTTCTGGCCTCGGCTGGTTGCAGCTGTCCCGGATGAGCCCTGGGAAGTGGGAACCCTCAAAAACGATCTAACTCGCCGTTAGGTTGATTTCTGGCCTGTCCCGGATGAGCCCTGGTCTGGCCTTGGCTGGTTGCAGCTGTCCCGGATGAGCCTGGGAAGTGGGAACCCTCAAAAAATCTAACTCGATCTAGGTTGATTTCTGGCCTTGGCTGGTTGCAGCTGTCCCGGATGAGCCCTGGGAAGTGGGAACCCTCAAAAACGATCTAACTCGCCGAGTTAGGTTGATTTCTGGCCTTGGCTGGTTGCAGCTGTCCCGGATGAGCCCTGAGAAGTGGGAACCCTCAAAAACGATCTAACTCGCCGAGTTAGGTTGATTTCTGGCCTTGGCTGGTTGCAGCTGTCCCGGATGAGCCCTGGAAGTGGGAACCCTCAAAAACGATCTAACTCGCCGAGTTAGGTTGATTTCTGGCCTTGGCTGGTTGCAGCTGTCCCGGATGAGCCCTGGGAAGTGGGAACCCTCAAAAACGATCTAACTCGCCGAGTTAGGTTGATTTCTGGCCTCGGCTGGTTGCAGCTGTCCCGGATGAGCCCTGGAAGTGGGAACCCTCAAAAACGATCTAACTCGCCGAGTTAGGTTGATTTCTGGCCTTGGCTGGTTGCAGCTGTCCCGGATGAGCCCTGGGAAGTGGGAACCCTCAAAAACGATCTAACTCGCCGAGTTAGGTTGATTTCTGGCCTCGGCTGGTTGCAGCTGTCCCGGATGAGCCCTGGGAAGTGGGAACCCTCAAAAACGATCTAACTCGCCGAGTTAGGTTGATTTCTGGCCTTGGCTGGTTGCAGCTGTCCCGGATGAGCCCTGAGAAGTGGGAACCCTCAAAAACGATCTAACTCGCCGAGTTAGTTGATTTCTGGCCTCGGCTGGTTGCAGCTGTCCCGGATGAGCCCTGGGAAGTGGGAACCCTCAAAACGATCTAACTAGTTAGGTTGATTTCTGGCCTCGGCTGGTTGCAGCTGTCCCGGATGAGCCCTGGGAAGTGGGAACCCTCAAAAACGATCTAACTCGCCGAGTTAGGTTGATTTCTGGCCTTGGCTGGTTGCAGCTGTCCCGGATGAGCCCTGAGAAGTGGGAACCCTCAAAAACGATCTAACTCGCCGAGTTAGGTTGATTTCTGGCCTCGGCTGGTTGCAGCTGTCCGGATGAGCCCTGGGAAGTGTTCAACATGGAATCGGCTTGAAGCAGTCTCAGTCTGTTTTCCAGCGCCTCCCGTGCCAGGCAGCCACCAGCACAGCAGCAGCTGGCTGCCGCCCTTCTGGCCCCAAAGGGCCCCTCAAAGCAAACCCCAACCGATACCGATACAAATCGGTATGATTCAAAACGATTTGCAGCGATAGTCTTCGATACGATGTGAGGTTGCGATACTTGCTTTTCGATACCGATAGCTCGCAATACGCAACGATACGATTCGGTATGTTGTATTTGTATTGTTGAAACGACCCTGTTAAAAAAAAAAGAGCACATATTTCTTATAGGTTTCCTTCAATTTCCTAGGCTGTTGAGGACTTCCCCAAGATAGTCTTGGCACTTCCTCGAGAGAATCCTGGGAACACATGTTTCGTCTGTGAGGCTGAAAATAGGAAGGGGTCGCCGTTTGGGGCAAGCATTCTTGAAGATGGGGGCAACACCATTTCATTCCCTACTGTGTGCTTGCTACCAATTGCAAGCCTTCGGCAACTGAGCCGTACCTCCAGCATCACTTTGATGGAATCATCAACATTGCTTGCACAAGAACCGCCTTGATTTCCATTTGTTGCTTGCGTTGGATCAGCTGGACACTGCACCGCCTCTGCTGGGGTTTCACGATGGTAGGTGCAATCATAGAAGATTACATCCCCGCACAATGCCTGGAAGCAACCGGTCAACTGTCGTAGAGTCTCCCAACATCTTTTTGGGAGAACAGCTTCCTCTGGAATCGTTTGCCCCCTGGACCTGTCGTCTCCAAGCCTTTAACTTGAACATTTCCAGCGGTATATATATATATATATGCATACGTATATATATATATATATGCATATATATATATACATAGTATACATACACACAAATTTCCTGCTTCATCCCGGCATTCTCTCAACTGCAAAGTGGACCCTTCATCGATCCGACGCTTTCCTATGCCAGGAGATCTCCTGGGCCAAGTCCGACGGCATTTACGCGAACCCCGACTGGTACCCGGGGCGCCTTGAGCCGAATCTAGTGACTGGACGGGGAAGGAAAGCGGTTGGCACGAGCAGCCAAGAAGACATATGAATTATTTATTTCTGGAAGGGATGGTGTTGCTTGCACTGGAAATTGCATTTAAGATTCTAGCTCACTCTCGCACAAAGTATGGCGCTTGCGATTTGCTTCTAAGGAGCAAGCGCACAGTTGGTTTACTCGATAGCCAATCGGACAGTATTTTTAAAGGTGACATGAGGCAAGTGCAGGTGATGCTCAACCCCCCATGTCGTAAGGAAATCTGGGGTCACTACCGTAAGTTGAACAAAGATAGTTCTGAGTCAAAGTTCGGGACACCCCAAATTAATCGTGAGTTTGAAGGCAGGCGTCACCGACCTAAAGCTTGGTTGCATGTTGCGTAGTTGGTAGTAAGGTACTTCAGACCATATTGGTTAAGTTGCCACGGTGGGAGGCCCTTATTGGCCGGTGAGTTGTATAGAGTCCCCTGGCTACATCACACAGCCCCCCCGGTACAGGGAACTTCGCTCCCCGTTGAGGCTCACGCCGGAGAGCCCCCTCGACGACTTCCAGCGGGTCATGCACGGTGCCGGGCTTAGTGGGAAGTCGATCTGACTTGGGAACCAATGCAAACCACTCGGGCAAAGTTATGATAGTTTTGTCAGCCAACCAACAAGTTCCGGGCCGTACTTACCAGAAAGCCCTTCCCTGACACCGCAGACCCCACGGTCCAGCTCCAAATTCCCTTGGAACCTTGGCCTTGGTCCAGCCATCACCGCTGGCTCGTTTGGCCTGCTCGGCTCGCACGCGAGGCAGCGGCGGCACCGCGTGCCCCATGCCTTGCGGGGTGCTCTCGTGAAGGTCGCGTGCCCGGTTCGGAGGGGCCAGAGCTGAGGTCCAGAGGTTGCCTGGGTCGGAGGCTTCCAGCGTCACATGCACAGGCTGCTTTGAAGTAATATATGTAGATATACACATGTCAAGTTGTTGCTTTTCTGGTGTTTTGGTTTGAGGGGGGGGGAACCAGTGACAAGAATATGTTGACTGTTGACTTTGTTGAAGTGGCTTTTACAACACATGTGTTTCACACTGTTGTACTCTATTGTTGGCCCAGCGATACAAGTTAATGCTGACAGCCGTTTGACTGGGGAACAGCCAAATTACGCCTACGGCCTACGGGCCTACGGGAGGTGTTCGTGTTGGAACAGTCAGTGGTGCAACACGGGGAGGGCTGGTCAGCTTTCTATGATTTCTCCGCTAGCGTTTTGTGTGAGCCAGGCAAGACGCATTACGCGCTCGAGTGTGTCCAGTCGCAACTGCAACCCCGAGCCAGCAAAGGTTGACCGCCCCATACATCCAACCAGGAAGTGAGCGAACATGTTGCTTTAGATTAGCCAGGTACCCAAGGTGTGGATTGCAAGGCATGGAACGTTTATGCAGGGAGCGAACACGCACAACACACCGATGAGCGGGGTGTTCTTGCCGACTGTTCTGCATCACAGCAATATTACAACGATTTGTTCTGAACTGATACTAGCATCCAAGCGCCAATCTTCAATCGCAAAGGTCTCCGTGTTGCTTGACGAGAAGAAATGCAGAGCCTCTTCAGGGTTGGAACCATTTCTTGGACTGCGACGACGCTGAGGCTTCAGCTGCTCGCATGAAGCTGCGCATGAGAGTTGTGATTTGTGCATGTGGCAAAGGCCGCATGAAGAATTTGGAGCGTGGGCATCACTAAGCCACTCGAGGTGTTCGGATTGTGCCAAAGAGATCCGCCTCGAACCTCTCTCCTGGTTTTGGCCACCAACAGTATGAGAGACAAGTCTTGGGCACCATATCTAGAATACCAAGTTTCAATTGCAGATCTGCCTTTGCCCAGGTGTTCAGTAGATAATCGTTCGAGGGACAACGCGCAGACTCCGAGCCGTTCGGGCTCATGGGCTCTTGTGGCCAAATGACCCCTCCTGTCAAAGCAGCAGGAGTAGACCCCGGCTCTGGCAAATATTTTCGTGCTCCGGCGCCGGCCTCGCATGTCCGCCGCGCGGGCTGGATGGATGGACGCAATGGATGGCGGATAAGAGGGAGAGCGGGAGGGAACCCAAGGGACATACATACATATATACACAATTTTATTCACATTAAACTTATAGAAAACATATCAACAGAAGCAACACAGAACACACCGCCCCCATGCCGAAAGCATGGTCCATTCCGGACGAGGCATGGGGTCGGCGGATTTTCAGTTTTGTTCACCACAAGAAAGCAGTTGGAGGTGAACCCTATTTGTACACCAGCATTCCTTGTTCATGCGGTGCTGGACACAGCGAAACGGCCTTTGCATTGAACGAGCAAGCGACCCAAGAAGCAGTGGAAGGGTGATTCCTCACCAAGACACGACATGGACAGATGGGCGTCTATGCCCCCCGATTCTGGACGTTCAACAAAAAGGGAGCCTGAGAGGAAAGCCTTCTTGCACAGGAACTCGTGCCCAACAGCTTTATTTTACCTCCCGCCCAAATGCCATTCGCCCGCGTGACGATGCTGGAGATCGGGATCTGGTTGAGACAGGACTTTGCCACCCTCGGGCGGCCAGAGACGTTTTCCGGCAAAAAGGAACGAGGCAGCCGGAGACGCTCGTGCTGCTCCTTGAATGTTTGTCCACAATTGGCCTCATTGGTTTACTCGGGGACGCTCAGTGTTAGATTAATGGACAATGTCACGTGGCTTGTTGTAGTTTGCCTGTTCCAGCGAAATTCGGACAGTCAAGTCAGTTTTTAGCGATCCCATGCTTCTGCGCACATTCCGGCTTGAGGCGCCGCCCGGCGTGGATCCGGGTCGCTTTAAGGTCATCAAGATGGAAGCTGCCGAGCCCTCGGGCAATATGCAGCAAGAAGTCGCTTTCTTGACGTTTCGTTTGACGTGCCATGCTGCGTGCTTGCGGCCGATCCTATCACTTTCCAAGACCTCATGAGCACACTTGTTCAATGCTACCTTGGCTCGGAGATAGGTCCAGATTCGGGCTCTCATCGGCAAGGGAGGAGAGACGGTTCAGGCCGGGAAGGGTGGGAGGTGAGCCAGTGGGGGACGAGGAAGATGCCATTCACGCTGACACAAAGCAAACATAGATTTTGACAAGCGTCCAGAATATGTTCCGTTTACCCTGCATTCCTTGACAGAACCACATAGTATGTTAGATGACTCCTTTCAGACACATTCGTGTAATTGCCAATTTGACGTGTCCGGTTGCTTGCTGGGATGTTCTGGAATCATTTTGGGTTGAGCTTTGGCGGAGTCTTCTTGGAAATTTCTGTCAGAAAAGCTGCCTCCCAACCAAGAAAAGCAACCAGTGCTGCAGCAAGGCATTGGGAAGCACTGTGAGGCAGCAAAAAACCTTGGGCAAGAAAGTTGGCACGTCAAACTCCATTTCATCTCAAAAGCACGCATGTACAAGACTTCCGAACGGATTCAAGCCACCAATAGAACACACACACACATCCAATTGCAGGCTACCTTCAATTTGAGACAAAAAACAGAAAGCCAGACTTTTTCAAGCTTTTCACAAGAGGGAACCCCCGTAGAACCAAAGCTTGGTCAGCAGTGCTGTTTCCTATGTTGCAACATGAGACAAAATGGCTGGACTGCCTTGAGTGTAACTGACAAAAACAAGATCCCGAGCTCGTTTGAGAGATTCAAACCCGTGTGTTGCTGGACTCAACTGTCAACTTCTTTTCAAAATAGAAGCCAAACTTGAAGCTTCAAATTGTTGCCAAACTTCAACGAAGCTTCATACACGTGCAACCAAATTGGTAGGACGCGGACAAAAAGAAGAAGCGGAAAAGAAAAAGTGTAAGGTGTAAAGTGTGGGCAACCATTTTTTGTTTTAAAATATTTGCGTCTTCCCAACAAGTATCAACCTTTTGTTTTTCAAAGCCGACACTCAGCAATCATTCCCCAAACAGTTTACTGTGAGGGGTTCTAAATTCATTTAAGGTGGCTCGCCTGTTGCCAAGCCCTAGCCTGGATGCCTGGCACAGCTCTCTGGGTGGACGGGTTCATTTGTCTCCCTGTGTCTCCCTTCATTTGTCTCCCGTTGTCTCCCCGCCTGGATGCCTGGCACGGCTCTCTGGGTGGACGCGTTCGTTTGTCTCCCTGGGTTCACTTGTCTCCCTTTGTCTCCCTTCATTTGTCTCCCGTTGTCTCCCAGCCTGGATGATCCAGTCTGGGTGGACGGGTTCATTTGTCTCCCTTTGTCATTTGTCTCCCGTTGTCTCCCAGCCTGGATGCCTGGCACGGCTCTCTGGGTGGACGGGTTCATTTGTCTCCCTTTGTCTCCTTCATTTGTCTCCCAGCCTGGATGCCTGGCGCGGCTCGGGTTCATTTGTCTCCATTTGTCTCCCTTCATTTGTCTCCCGTTGTCTCCCAGCCTGGATGCCTGGGTGGACAGATTCACTTGTCTCCCTTTGTCTCCCTTCATTTGTCGCCCGTTGTCTCTGGGTGGACGGGTTCATGTGTCTCCCTTTGTCCCCTTCATTTGTCTCCCGTTCTTTCTTAGCCTGGATGCCTGGCACGGCTCTCTGGGTGGACGGGTTCATTTGTCTCCCTTTGTCTCCCTTGATTTCTCCCGTTGTCTCCCAGCCTGGATGCCTGGCACGGCTCTCTGGGTGGACGGGTTCATTTGTCTCCCTTTGTCTCCCTTCATTTGTCTCCCGTTGTCTCCCAGCCTGGATGCCTGGCGCGGCTCTCTGGGTGGACGGGTTCATTTGTCTACCTTTGTCTCCCAGGATGTCTGGCACCCCTTTGTTTCCCTTCATTTGTCTCCCGTTGTCTCCCAGCCTGGATGCCTGGCACTGTTTTTTTGGTGGACAGATTCACTTTTCTCCCTTTGTCTCCCTTCATTTGGCTCCTGTTGTCTCCCAGCCTGGATGTCTGTCACGGCTCTCCAGGCGGACGGATTCACTTGTCTCCCTTGGTTCCCCTTCATTTGTCTCCCATCTCTGTGGGTGGACGGATTCATTTGTTTCCCTTTGTCTCCCTTTATTTGTCTCCCGTTGTCTCCCAGCCTGGATGCCTGGCACGGCTCTCTGGGTGGACGGATTCATTTGTCTCCCGTTGTCTCCCAGCCTGGATGTGTGGCACTCACGCTCCGCGGTTTCCTTCACTTCCCGCGGTTCTGTCCTTTTGGCGGGGTCTGGTTTGCCTTCGGCTTTGGCCCTGGCTTCGGTCATTCCTTGTCTTGTGGATGTTGGGGACAGGGTCCTCCTCTGTCTGCCCTTCATCTGGACTTCGATTTCGCTTGGGCTCGTGGTGGGTCGTCTTCCTTGTCTATCGTTGGCTACACCCTGTCTGTTCGTTCAGTGCCTCGTTATCAGTTGCGGTCCCGAGCTGACGATAGCGGTGCGCTGCGGTGCGCGGCTTCAGCTACGAGAAGGCTCTGTTAACCCCCCGGTGAAACAAACGTGAATCACGCTGGAGTTAAATCCTCTATCGATTCTTCGAGGATGTTCAACGAACCTTACGCTGAGATACCCAGTGGTGCTCTTGGCACCTGGGGTTGTCCCGGCTCTCCCGGCGGACGGGTTCATTTGTCTCCCTCTCCCTCCATTTGCCTGACGGATTCATTTGTCTCCCTTTGTCTCCCTTCATTTGTCTGGCACGGCTCTCTGGGCTTTGTTTCCCTTCATTTGTCTCCCGTTGTCTCCCAGCCTGGATGTGATTCACTTGTCTCCCTTTGTCTCCCTTCATTTGTCTCCCGTTGTCTCCCAGCCTGGATGCCTGACGGCTCTTTGGGTGGACAGTTTCACTTGTCTCCCTTTGTCTCCCTTCATTTGGCTCCCCTTGTCTCCCAGCCTGGATGTCTGTCACGGCTCTCCAGGCGGACGGATTCACTTGTCTCCCTTGGTTCCCCTTCATTTGTCTCCCATCTCGTGGGTGGACGGATTGATTTGTCTCCCTTTGTCTCCCTTTATTTGTCTCCCGTTGTCTCCCAGCCTGGATGCCTCTCTGGGTGGACGGATTCATTTGTCTCCCTTTGTCTCCCTTTGTGTTAAAACCCTCTAGGCCCCGTGCCGAAAATTGGGTAGCTGTTCTGAGGTCCATGTTGGTGTTGCTTAACAAGTTCCATTGATCGCCATTTGGCTCAAGACACAATTGAGGTTCAAGATCTGATGTGTAGCTGCATACATACGTGATCGGCATTGAGAGCGGAAAACATCTCGCTTGCGCTGCATTTGTCAGGACCATTGTTGTAACTATCATTCCTTCTCCCTTACAACGTTTACACGGGTTCGGCTATAACGGCATCGTCCGTATACACCTTTCTACGTGGTTGGTATTACAGCTGGAGGGTTCGGTGCATAGCGTCCCACGGGACGTCACCTTGCCGTCTCTTGACAGGTTATCAGCCGTAACGACAAGCTCTACACTGGACAGGGAGACAGCTGGTTTATTGCGGGTACAGGGACAATAAAGGAACGATAATCTACACAGTACAATGGCGTCTTCGGCGAGCCCAAGTACTGCAACTTTTGGGAACAGCAGCTCAGAGGGATCCAATGGATTGATGGCTCTTCCTGCGGTGATGGATATGATTGCAGATTCACAGGATGAACCTGGGAGCGGAGGTTCCGCGCTATTCAGCGACATATCTACTCCCACAAGATCATGGAAGCAGATCGATGTTCATCAGGAGTCGAAGAAAAGAGAATCCCCACCGAGAAGATCATCATCTTCGCCTGCGACACCACGGACGTCGCAGAAGGGCGTGAGATCGACATCGAAGGGTGGGAGGTCAAAATCACCCACCAGTGCGGAGTTTCGCGCCGCGATCAAAGAGAAGAATAAGATGGAGGTGGAGATCGGGGAATATCAAAAGACACTTGATGAAATGTCGGCAGCAATGGCGAATCTTCATCAAGAAGATTATGGAAGCACCATCCGGATCCAAGAGCTGGAGAGACGATGCGAGATTGCCAGCAAGCAGTCGGGACATCTAGTGAGTCACCACCAACACCACATGGCTGAGGCATGGCGCAAGTTTGAGGAAGAAGCCCAACAGATGCGCAAGGTGGAAATGAACGCATTTCAGTACGGGGAGAAGAAAGACATGGAGTCGAATATTATAATGCAACAGATGAGACAAGCTGAAGGAACTATCATGGAGCAGAAGCGGGAGATTGCATTGATGAAATCCTACATGGCAAGCGAGAAGTCGGCCGCGCAGGAATCAGCTATACGTGCAAATCAGATACACCGTGAAGCTTCACAGCAGATATCAGTTTATCAGCAACAAATCAGAGGCATCGAATCGTCTACATCTATCGAGAAGTTCAACGAGGAGGAGATGGTCCAAAGTCTGAAATCACAGTTGGAGCACGCACTCGTCAAGCGCCCCGAGACGTACTCTATGGAGGACTCCAGGGAACAGCTGATGGCGAGACTGAATGACGTTACAGTATTTGCGGAACAAGAATCGAAGAGAGCAGATTGCTTGCTTCGCGAGAAGGAAGAGATCGTCAAACAGTATGAATCCGACGTGTCGATGAAGGACCAGATGATTGCTGTCGAAGGTGGTCATCGTCAAGATGCGATCTTGGAGTTAGCCCAGGTCAAAGAAGAAAAACAAGAAGAACGGTGCACGATGGACGAGAAGTCGAAGGAGGCTGAGTACTGGAGATTGACAGCTAAGGGAATGTACGATGAGTACCTCGAAGAGATGCATGAGCTTCAGGGACAACTGAAAGAAAGAGAGGCGACGCTCAAGCAAGAAGAGAGTTTTGTACGCCAACTCGATGCTGACAACGAGGAACTACGTGCAAACAAGAAGCTGGAGACACAGGAAGCCTCCAGCAGCAAAGATGGACATCGTGAACGAGCAGTAGTGAAACGCGCTGAGGGAGGAACCCAAGCTAATTCAACTAGGGTAGACAAGAAGGTGGCTGGGTCAGTCCCGTCATCGTCTTCAAATCAGATCCCTAATTCGTCGCTGATGCCGGGTTCGATTCTCTTTCCGTCTTTCGGTGATCCAATGATCGATGTACACCTATCCCAGATGCA